ATATTTGTGCTTTGATGTACTTTTCTTCTTAGAGTTGTAACTTTAGTTGATTTGCATAGTTATTCATTTTTCGGTTTTCAAACAAATGGCTTAAAATAAACAATTTTCTTATTCTTGATCATCATCTGAAGCAAGAAAACTAGATCTGAATACGAAAACTGACTATAATATTCGGATTTAGTGCCATGAAATTGTTTAAAATTAGTTATGATATCCCTTACACCATTTGAAAAAATTGTAGACCAGTGTAATCTATGCCCTCTTCCTTCATTCGAGCAAAAAGTTTTCAATTTTAATCAATTTTCTTGGGCTATTGAGATTAAAGTTGAACTATGCCTGTTTCTGTTCATTCAATTCTCTTCTAGGTCACCTAACTACTCAAACCCTGTTTGTCATTACGCTAGTAAAACCACCAACATTACATCATGTTTACTGTTTTCCTATGGGGTCCAAACTTCAAGTGATACTCCTGCTCAACTTCGGACATTTTGAGCTAATCCCTAAATATTCTTTTACTGATATTTCAATGAGCGAAATATCACAATTCGTCCTTCCAAAAGTAATTAAATTATCACAAGAAATTTCAGAGGCCGTGTCGTAGAGTTCCAAATACAACTCTTGGGACATGTTGAGCTTTAAATATCTCGTCATTTTTCTAATTCTATGAATTTAATTACAAGACTTTTCTTTCATCATCAACGTTCGCAATGATTTATCAAATGTCAACCAAAGTAATATTGGTTGTCTTTTGTTATCACTTCGAGAAAAATAAACGGAACGAATTAAGTGGGTATGTTTTCTATATTTAGATTTATTTCCAAAACTTGGATGGGATCTTCTATTTTAAAACTGAGTAATGCGTCATTATTTGACTTTTTTACATATTACCCACAAAGTTATTAAAATGATTAATTCCGATTTCAAATTGGTATCTTAACTATTTTCCTGGCCTCCTGATTTTATTCTTCCCCAAAATAAGTTTCACAATTTTTAAAGATGCTTAAAAAATTATGTCTAACAGCGAATGAGCTCTTCGACTCTAAAATCAACGAATACAAAAACTGATTTGACAAACGATTTATGAAATCAATCAGGCTTTTTGAATTCGCTCTGTTAAGACAAACATTGGTGTTCACTGTTCAATAAACAAAATGATACAAAATCATTTCCGTTTTATTCTGTTTCTCACGGAAGCTACTATTTGAAAAAATCATGAGAAACGGGTTGCGCATTTCTCTCTCACTCACACAGACATTTTATTTTGGTTTTTATGTGACCCCTGTTTACTTTAGTTTCTTAGTCTCCCAGTAAACAACATTGACGTTCTTGATATCATATGTGACACAACTCTTTTCTATTTTCCGGCCTGGCTTTCTATCAGTAATAGTGACGACATTCCAGAAGTGATGATCATTTTTTTTTCTTTTTGTACATGATTTTATATTTATAAGCTTCTTCAAGACTTACAATGTCGTGAAACATTGTTTCAAAGTCTGTTACTTTTAAAATGTTTTGATATTAATTATACACTTACTCTGTATTTTTTAGAGATTTTTGTCCTTGTCAAAACACGATCTTATAAAACTAAACTAAACTTCTGCACAAGGTAAAATGATGGGTTATAGGAGAAAAAGAGAAAAAAATCTGTTTTGCCAAACTTCTAAGTGGGCAAGGCGTGACTGTTTTGAAAATGAACATACGAAATTCTAGTTTTTAACCGGATTCGAACATCGACTGATGACGCTAGTAGTGGGAAATATGTAATGTAACTACTTCAGCCAACAAACCAGACTTTCTTAGAAAAACCTTGCCCTCATTTCTATTAAAACTTTCCTAAATGGATCATTTCACACTGACTGTCGTGTGTTTTAAAACTAAATCAACCCAGTTAGTTATGCTATATTGTTAGGTTAATAATACACATCAAACAAAATATGTTTTCAAATAAAGAAGTCAGTCAGTGAGTCAAAATTCAAACATAACTTTGAAATTTACTTCTATTGCGTATTGAAATTTGAATTTTATTGGAAAAACAAATGTAATTAAATACATTACTCTTGAATTGCTGCTCCAGATATAATCATTTCCATACCCAAACACTTTGTATGGGTGGAAAACAGATAAGGCTATGTATATGTTTGAAAGAAAACACTTTATGTTCGCAAAACTTGAATGCAACAATAATTTATTCAAACAGTGAATAAGATACACATTATATGGAAAAGATAAGTAGCTAATGTCTTACTTGATAGTTGTCTAGGACATGAAAAACGAGATAAATTGAAGTCTAGCATGCTGCTCTAATGAACTAAATCTCCAAAGCGAGGCGACATTTGGGATGTACATAAACTATAGCCAAGTCAAGGGCTGATAAGTTAGTTTTGCAACGCGACAATCTCATCATTAATTGCAAGTTGAATTATGAATGTATAAATAATCATTGATTTTTGCAGTGACGAAAATGATTTGTAATATTTTGGCGGAAAAGTCGGTCGTTCTTTGCGTTCTTCCTAACTGTTTCAGTCTGTTCGAGAGTGTGTGATGAAAAGGAATAGATTCGTAACTTTGTTGATTAGCACCCAAATGACATCACGGGCATGAACCAGCCGTCATAACAACAGCTGAAGTATTTTTAACGCACGTCTCCGAAGAGATGATTTCTAAAGATTACCAAATACTAACTAAAAGTAAAAACTGTCTACCTACATTTATATACTTAGTTGTCACTCGATATCTCAAATAATCAGACAGTGTTGAAAACAACTTTTTACAATGTCGTTTATGGTTTTTAAAAGGATTCAGTACTGTAACATAGAATCTCTTTAAAAAATGTTAAATTTATATATACACTTTTGAAAGAGAGGTGCCTTTTTTTTTAACACCGCAAAGCTTTTTAAATTCTTGACATTCCCTTTTTCGTCGATGTCTTCATCTTAAAGCAGATTTCAATTCTAAGCGTAGATAAGTTTTATTAATGGAACTGATTAAGGATTTTGGACTTGAACTTAGTAGAATAATTTTTCACCATTTTTTAACATTACATAAAGTAACACGAACTGAAGAAGTTCCCTTTAGCAAATTATATCAGCTGTGGTGAGCAACATTTCACCCAATTTGAGGTTTGCGTTTTTGAGCACCTGAAGTGTAGTAAATAAATGGTTAGCGGCTAGTCTGGTTGAAAATTATTTGTGAGTAATGAGTTTTATTCTCACTGGGTGCCTCATACTTGTGACCTTAATCGAAACTAAGCTAAGCTTATTATTAAATAACGACAGAAATGTGCATTGCTTTGCAAGTACAACTTGTAGAGAATGAAGGAGCGATAAACCATGATGAGGTCTGACACACCTCACTGGTAAATCTCATAAAATCATTTAGAAGAACAATGTAACAGAAAGTAGTTAGACTCCTCTTTGCGTAAACAGAAACTACACAATACAAACAGTGAGTGTAATTCACTAAGAAAAAAATGGTTTTAACTAAGTATTTTATTGTTTCGAAAACAAATTCGAACCATTCATTTCAATTTTCAAATAAAATGAGAGGGCACTACACAACATATCCTAAAAAAGAAAGAGGGAGAGAGCTAAAAATGAATTCAGATATTTAGTTTTAAAAGTTCCTGATTCTGTTTTTTATCTGATCTTCTGAAAAAAATAAAATCAACATTTCTTAGATACGTAGTAGTCTTCTTTGTTTTGATTTTAAAACATATTTTCTTTCTTTACGCTACGCATGTTCATAATTTTTGGAATGACACCTAAATTTTACTGCATAAAACATATAGAATAGTCTTAGAAAATAATGTTTCAGGGCACACAAAAAAAAAAACAGAAAATTAAATTTTTTATGCCTTTTGAAAATTAACGGCAGTAATTTTTTTAAAGATAACTCAAAATTCAAAATGATACAGCTCATAGATTGAAGCCACGAGGACAATTTTGGTTTTCTTCTATTTAGTTTTCAGTTTCAGAAAAAAAATAAAGTATAAGAGCTTTTGACCAACACCAGCCCACTCTATAGTGCCGTGGGTGCATTTTTCCAAACTAATTCACCTGAGAGCAAGCTCTTTTCGCCGGTAATAATGCCGTAACGAGTCCTACTCTTCAATTGAACCCGGCTATTGCGCTGGCTTTAGAAAACAACCCTGAAAAATGTACTTTTTTGTGGTGTATTTAACTTCCTCTACTAACTACTTAGACTATTATTCGATTTTATTTTAATAAACCCAAAACTTCAATGCTTCATCATAAATATTCAAAAAAATTGGTAATTAGTATTAGTTTAGAGTTTATCTTTTAATAATATTCATGCGAGAAACTTGTGTGTGTGTGTGTATGTGGAATTTTAAAGTCAAATATCTATTTACAATCCATAAAAAAAATACAACTTAAAATTTCGTTTTTTGATTAGTTTTAGTCTAGAGCAGAGATAATTCCGAATTTACATATGCACAACTCTGCAATTTTGTGGTTAATATATTTTTTTTTTAATTAGCGACCGACCGGTAATAGGGTTGTTAAAAATGAAATGAAATTTTAACTAACATCAAAGATTAAAGTTGCAAGTCGACGTGTAACACTTGAAGGATTTTTCCTTTTTAAATTTGTTCTTTAAAGCCTTGTACACTACACTACACAACACTATACACACACACACACGCACACAAATATTCAACTTCAGTTCCAATATAAACCAAAAAACTGTAATGAGTAAAATGACACCTCATAAAAGAATTCAGACATTTCTCATATTACAAAAAATTCAGTTTTTAAATTTGTGGGATTTTATCATGCACTTATCATTGTTTGCGTACTATACTTTTCCGACAGATATAAAAACCCTTGAGATGTCACAACAACTCTATGATTTTCCCTGACAACACACCGTACGGCGTAGTATCAGCAACACTAAATACAAAGCAGTAGGCAATAATTCAAGGTTTTTTTTTATAGCAAGCACCTTGAGTAAATATTGTATCACTTTCTCTAATTTGGACGATGTGTGGCGATGAAGACGGGTTTAATCTTAGTTCAGAAGCATACCTTGGTAAGTAAGCACATGAAATCATAAACTTGTTACGTTAAACATCGGTTTTACTTTTGAAAAATTATCTTTTTTTTTCAACAATCCTGAATTACTTGTCTTTTAAATAGTTTTTTTTTTTAGCCTTTATGCTGTTCGACGTTTACTTAGCAACAAGAATACAAGCAAAACAGTCGATACGACAAATTCAATTAACTTGTTACTTAATTCCCACAAAAATGATTCTTAAACAAATTATTTTTTTTAATCTAATTCTGTTCTATTTTTAGACTTTAAAATGGAATGACTAACAAATATTGTAAGGCAGTCTTTAAAGTGTGTTTTGAAAAACACTTATCAAAATCCTTTTCTATTAATTTTTTTTAGGTGTGGGTATGTAAAGTGTACAAATATGGCATTCATAATTTGCACAATCAACAACTTTTTTATGTTCTTTTTTTCATTTTGAATCACTTTTTTGGATACACGCGCAATGGATCATGGGGTGCTGAAAAGTTGTCACCCAATTCTCTTCCTAGAATTTGACCAAATATTTTTTCTTTATTAAGAGTTTCTTGGTTGGAGGGTAAACATTTCAGCACCTAAACCTATGTCATCAGTTTAGCTACTCATATATAAGTTTATCTTATGTGCATATATATATATATATATATATATAGAGAGAGAGAGAGGGGGGGAGAATGTGGTTTTTTTGTACCTTCAAAAGATGACAGTGATATTCAAGTAATTTTTCATTAGTTAGTTTTCTGCATAAGCAATCTAGGATTTTAATCAACACAATTCACTGGAAGAAAGAATTCTGCTTTTTAGATCATTGAAAGTTAAAATATTCAAAGAAAGCTGAAACAAAAGAAATAAAGTCTTGTATTAGCAACCTAATTTCTCATACTTGCTAATGAGATATTCCGTTGTTAATGTAACACAAGACATGTTTGCTTCATGGTGTCAAGTAATGTCTCTTTTTACAATAACAATGGAATATCTCATGATTAAAAAAGAGAAAACAGGCTGTGTGACTGATAAATATCTAAAGCCACATTGTGTTTCAATGTTTTAACATATGATGCACTTGATAACCTCTTGCTAAATGCCAATTTTCTTATAGTTCATCAATAATCATGTATTTTCTCAATCTAAAATAAAAGAGATACAAATTACTCCAACAAATGCAATCAAAAGTTGACCAAAATCAAAAATGGGTACTGAAACAGATGTCTAAACTTTTTTTATTTTTAAGACAACCAAATTCAAAATCAAGTTTTATCTCATATTTTCTACTTCACTGCAATATTTTCCCTGGAACTTACCCACATTCCCAGATGTCCTATGTCTCATGATCAAACAGGTTAGCATCTTTTCCATATGTCTTGTCCCAATAACATGGTTATGTATTGTTCTATATAATGTAGTTTATGTAGTTATGTATTGGCCTCTATAACAGATACTGTATTTAAAAGATACTTAACAAGAATACAATATTACTATCAGAAGATTTGAAAAATATCATTTATTACCAAGTAAGCCAATCTGGGATTTTTGGTAAAGAAAATTAAAATCCTTTCCAGTTAAGAATGTGAGGAACTTGAAAGTTTTAGCCAATTTGCAGAACAAGTTCAACTAAGAATTCCCAATTTCTGTTATAAAAGTAATCAGAAATGTCACATGTAAAAACGTGTTGAGGTAATGTATTAGTTTAATAAAAGAACCAAATGTTTTTCAAGAACATCATTATAAAATGGTTAGAACTTAAATGAAAAAATGTTCTGTAACAAAAGACAGATATCATTTTAGTTTAAGCTGATCCACATCACCAATTTAGGTCTTTAAATAATTTCTTCTCTAATATTCCTTGCTCTTTGTCACACACAGATAATGTTCTTCTCATTATTAGCATTAACTCTATATATGATACTGACAAATCTTTCCATTTTCACAGTGATGCAGGATTTAGAAATATATGGAAATGCTAACTTCTTGGAGAGATTTTTTATCAAACACCAGAAAGATTCAGATTATGGGATTTGAGTGGGAGACATTTTTAAGGAAAAAAATAGAAATGACTCAAATATTTGTATTGACATTTGGTGATCATTTAAAATAGCTTTTATAGCTGTATAAATATGCTAAAACAAAATTTAAGAAGAAAGAATATAAATGATTTAATTTTGAAAAAAAATAAACCTGTAATTAAAAATGATTGATTCACTAAGAAATGAGATTTATATCACAGAAAAGTCAAATATATTGCATTTTTTCTTTTTAAAAAAGATAAACATTCTATATTTTAGCTCATAAGTACTACCTTTCCACAGGTTATCAAAAAAATTTGATCACAAAAATGTTGCATTATTTAATAAAAAAATATACTGTGTCAACTACAAAATTTCAATATGTAATATTTATGGATAGCATGTTCTTTTTTCATTTTTATACATCATGGCAATAACAGATATAAGAAGTGAAATTCCTATCATTCTACATAATTTACAATAGTTCTAATTTGTAAACAATTTATATTACTCTGACATCTCTTTATGAGGTCAATTTTTATGAGGATAAAAATCATATCTTTGAAAGATTAGAAGAAATATACAAAAAATAAAATTGATTCTCCTTAAACAAAATGGATCAGTCCTTCTTTTGATCTTATGTGACCAAAGTAACAAAATAGTTATATTTCTTTATTGTTTACTACATCCAAAGATTTAATTATTCTTCTATATTGAATTGCCTGGCTATAATTGTTCTGATGTGTGCTTTTGCTATGATACTTCCTGTCTTGTGCTTCTTCAACAAGGGTCATTCTGCCATTTCATGTGAGATATACCTGTTCCTGTTGCAACATTCACCCAGTCAGTTAAGTTGTTTCCCCTCAAACAGACTCACTGCATATGAATGAAAGCTGACCAGGCATAGCAAAGGTTGTATTTATTCAGATGCACAAATCCATAGTAGAAGTTTCAGTGAGAATTTGTATTCACAAGCAGTCCCCAGTTACATGTATAGACACTTTTAGGATAGTGTGATTTGAACTCAGTTCCCTTCTCCTAGACTGGTTGCCACCCAAGGCTATAGGATCCAGTCTGTCCTATTTTATTCATAGCTGGGAGAGAAAAAAATGGATTTATACCTTTCCAAAGGGTATTAGCATGTAAGTGAATGTAATGAATTTGACCAGGATTCAAAATTGGCTCCTGGATCCAAGCCACTATGATGTTAAGTTATGACCAACCTTCTAATGTAGGTGTAGCAAAGTCTGAGTAGCAAATGGGAAAAGTGTAGTCATTGTTAAAAAGGCCCTTGGCTCAAAGTTTTTCACTTAATTGCTTATTACTGAAAAAAATCTGGAAATATACTCTCACTTTAGTGACTTAAACTGACATCTTTCAAGAGGAACAATGAACACTGAATTCATCTGTATAAACTGATTGCCAAAATAGAGACCAACCAAAAAAGTAAATAAATGAAATATTTCTTTTATTGGAGTCACTTTTTCTTCTTTGTTTTTAATAATTGACTTCTAAGTGTGGCAATATCTGAGATCATCTGGACTTGAATGTTAACAAAGAACAAAACAATAATTTGCAGGTGGAAGAATAATTGTCAGATGGAAGAGACACTTTGAGACAAAAAGGCAATGATATTCAAAAAGTCCAGAAATCTAAACTAATTTCCTCATCTTTGATTACATTGATTTTTTTTTTGTTTTTTTTTTTACTTTTACAAAAATGTGCATATCTCTCTCTCTAGTAGCCATCACATCCTATATAAAACATGTGCATCTCTCTCTCTTGTCATCAAATCCTATGCTTGCAAACAATCTTTAATAAACTTTTAAAATTTTGATATTAGAGACTAGCAAATTGTGAAATATAGACAAATAAAAAAAATCTGGCTGAAGAGAAAAAAGATCTCATTAAACTCTCTTCGGATCAAATACTAGAAACTAAATTCACAGCCCCTCACTATGGAGTAATGATTAGAAAATTAATCTAAAAGAACTTTACTAGGTGTCCCAAAAGTGTGGCCTTGTGGCAGACTAAGTTTTGTAAATATCTATAAACTACAAAACTTGTTTGGTTTCCAAATGAACTGAAACAGTTGTTAGGTCCAAGGGTAAAAAAGATCAAACATTTCTTAAAGTGGCTATAAACAGTTCATGAAGAACAATTAAAAACCATCTTTTTTTTGTCTACTTCAATAGATTTTTCCTTTTGAATGCATTTTTGCTTGTCCTCATCTGAATACAGACACCAAATTAACTGTCTGTAACTCTAAAACATTCTCAGATGTAAAATCTGATTAATAAAAATACCCCAGAAAAGAATGGAGATTTAAAAAGAAAAAAAATTAAAAATTAGGTTGACTAATTTAAGACTAAATTTATGATTGTTCTTTTGTTTATTCCTCTCTTGTAAAAATATAAAGTTTGTCTTTTTTAAGTGAAAAGTAGATGGCATTACCAAAAAGCAATAGCTAGCAAACTAGACTTATATTACCTACTGCTGTGAGATTGATCCTCACTGGGTGCACTACACTTATTAAATTATAACAGAGTAAGTTAAGCTTAATAAATATCTGGAGAAGTTGAGATAATGTGACTAAATTTTGAATCAGACTTATGGATAGTCATATATTTCTTTATAAGTTAACTACATTCTGATTTATTTTTTTAATATCAAAGTTTTGAGATAATTTGTTTTTAATTTTTCAGCAGGTTCATTTTCCAGACTTCTTCATGAAAAGAAAATTTATTTAATACCTTTTATACATATTAGTTATATTAAGATTAGATATTATTTTTTCTTCTTTCAGAAAAGCACCAAATTCTTTTTTACTTTGAAGACTGCATAAATCAACTACTCCAATACAGAGACGAAAATCCAAAAGTTAATACAATTAAATTCATTAACGAATAGTAAGTTTCTACTTGTGTTTGTATGTTTTTTTTTTATTTTAATAAAAATAAACACACTTTTTTGTTGATTACAAAAATGAACTGCAAAATATTTTGTTAAAAATTCTGAATTAGACACTTTTACCTGAACAAGCAGTGAAGTTGCAATATGGCACAACCAATAAAAGTACAACAATCTCAAGGCATTTATTTTGGGCCATGGGTGTTGTGCTTAAGTGTTAGGCTGACTGTTTCATTTGTTTAACATTTGTGAGGGGAAAGTTTACATTTGCATTTCACAATGAGGTCAATTTTAAATAATTTTTCACTTAAAATTAATACTTTGTAATTTATTTCTTACCTATTTCAGTTTTTATAGTTTGAAATGTGGAACCCATGTGATGTTCCGGGATTTTGAATTTATCAATGCAACTCCACATAACCGAATTTCTTTTCTAAAAATATTTTGGCAATTTTTCAAGCAAATAGGCAAAAAAGGAGGTAAGAATTATTTTCAGTTTCCTAAATTTATAATTTAATCTTTTAATATCCAGTTTTAATTGAAAAAGCATTTTTTTTTATTATTATAATCTGTTTCTATCTTCCTACAAATAATTACATTGATTATTTGTAAGAAAATTTTTTCTTTTCATCAAAATTTGTAAAAACATCAAATGCTGCAGAATTCCCCTCTTGAATGAGAAAAATATTCCACTTGTAGTCATTCTTTTAAACCCTTTAAGCAAAATTTAAGAACTAAAGTTTAATTCCTTTAATTTCAACAGTTTTGCTTGAGAATCACAAGAATTTCTTTGCAAGATTTAAAGAAGTTCATTGTATGAAATTATTGCAAATAAAGTTTTTGGATAGGGAATTTTCCAATCCCAAGTCAAACCAGAAATCAATTTCAAATTAATTGTTGAGTAATATGATCATAGAATTTTATCTTAAAATTAATTTTATGGTATCAATAAAAGCATTAGGATTGGTAAAAACTGAATAAAATTGTTGAAAATATATTCACTTTTCAGTGGTTATTGCAAAAAATGCCAGAACATGATTTATTAAGAAATATATAACTTTAGTATCTTCTATATTTCTGAGATGAGGTATTATATACACTATTTACATTATTCAGACTATTGTCTTCTTTGTCACCATATTTATTACAATGTTTCCGCCGTTGTACACTCCAGCCTTCTTCCGGTGGTTGGAATGTCAAACTGAACCCTTTATTTCGCTCACTGGGGTAGACTGTTCTAGTTCCACATGCCATGTCTAATGGATGTCAGTTATCAGTTATCTCCTGTTAATTCCCCTCTCCAAGTTCTCCACCACCTTAACCAGGTATTGAACTGACACTCTTTGGGTCCTGTCACTCAATCTAACTAATGCCTTTAGACAACTGTTCCATGTATCCTCAAGGACACATGGCACAGTGGATAAAGGCATGTGAGTTCAATATCTGGTTAAGGCAGTGGAGAACTTGGAGAGGGCAATTAACAGGAGATAACTGATAACTGACATCCATTAGACATGGCACATGGAACTAGAACAGTTTACCCCAGTGAGTGAAATAACATGTTCAGTTTGACATTCCAGCCACCTGAAGAAGGCCGGAGTGTACAACGGCTAAAACATTGTAATAAATATGGCAACAAAGATGAGGACAATAGTTCGAATAATGTAAAAAGTGTATATAACTTTAATATTTATATATCAAGTCAAGATGTATTAAGAAATATCAAACAATACCTTGTTTTTGTATTTAACAGCTTTGTATAAAAGATAACATCATTTTTTTATTTTTCACTTTTAGATCTATTAACAGTCCAAGAATATCATTCTTTAATCACTTTAATCTGCCCAGATCTCCCATTTGATCTTGTACAGAAAACAGCTCGGTAAGTAAAATTTCAGCTAATACTGACAAAAGGACACAAGCCACAATGAAAACCCAAAGTACAAGATGCTTGCACACTTATAAAATTTTTAGAATTTTTGTTAAAACTAAATTATTGCAAAACATTTCTCTTTTAATTATATAATAGACAATTTGTCAACCTCAACAGATTTCTTATATGTTGTATGAAATAAAAATGGATTTTAATCTAAAATCACAAGCAAAATATTTATAAAATAAAAATTACATGAAAAGGGCTGACAAGTTGTCATATAAATGTGAATTTGTTTTCAATGTAGATAATTTTAGAAGATTCATTTAGTAGAAAATTTCATTCCCATATGATAGATATTTGTAAGCCTGTAGATTTTTGTTAAGAAAACTTTCTCATGATCAACATCCTCAGACATTTTCCAGTTGGCAGAAACTGAGCATAAACCACTTGGTACCTGCTAATTTTCAGCTTTAAATATTAGCAAGATTTATCAAAATAAAGTCATCACTAAAATATAAAATGCAGTTTCTTGCTTCTGCCTTATTTATCTGGGTAGCTACATTTATTTAACTGGAGGACAAATATAGTGCATCTGGCAAATGTTTAGGGAAAAACTTCTAAGAAATGTGTTTTGTCAAGGATAGTAGTTACAGACCAATTAATAACAACTCATCTTTTTTATGAAATTCTAAAAGTAAACAATTTTTTTACTGTAAAATAAAATTCAGTACTTAAATGAATTCATTAAAAATTCAGAAATTATTTCAATAATTATTCTGAAGTATAAAATACATTTTTGCATGCAATCAAAAATTATCAAAATACAAAGGTGCACTCTTCAAAAACAGAGTCAATAAAATGGTTAATATTTTTTCAATGAAAAAGAGGAAACACCAACATGAATTTAATTAATTCAATGAATCTATTTAATACTGGAATTTTGTCAATCATTAAATGTTTCAAATTTATTCATTAACTTTTTTGTAATCCTTACATTCTGTATTCATAAATTGATTTTGTTCATTTATTTGTTTTACACAAAATTAACTAAAAAATGAGCCATGAAACGAAAAACATCAGAATAATTCTTAATTTGCATTCAAAGACAAAAAAGAATTTAACACCTCCCAAAATTTCTAAATAACAATAATGTTTATATCTTAGAATAGAATAAATGTATTTATATCAACTTTATATAAACATATATATATATATATATATATATAATGGAGAGAGAGAGAGAGATGGTGGGTAAGTGTATCACCTGCAAGAATTACAAATCAATCCATTTTCCTGGCAATAAAATCTTGTAACTTACACCTGCACAATATTCTCAATTGAGTGTTAACTTCCATTGACTGAATATTTCAGAAACCTTCAAACATATTTTATATCACAACAGATTCATAGTGGAGAGCAACCATGTGACTGCTTTTTATATTATTTTTAGTAATAAAAATTATTCAGGGTTCATTGCATTTTGGACTTCCCTAAGTAAAATAAAAGGAAGTAGCCATCAATCTTTTTCAGTAAAGCCAACAACTCAGTACAGATGGCTTCTACGTCAACAAAGAAGCGTACTTCCTGCTTCCTCATTTCCTTTCACCCTTAAGAACAATGAATTATCCATTTCTCTTTTCCTTATTTCTTAACAGAAAAATGGAATCTTTCACTTTACATATATGAATATATTTTGAATTGAAATAGTGTACTAAGTCATTATCTTTTCACATGCCAATTTTAATGCTCACATTAAAATAATCCCTTCAACCATTTTCTTTTTTTAAAACTGTGACTTATAAAAGCAACCTTTCAAGATTACAAAGAGCCTATTACAAAATATCCTGTAATCTGATTTTTATTTTTGAACAGAAACTGTTTTTATTCATTGGTTATTATTTGAAAGATGTATTGTTTTAGTATTCTTTATGATTGAGGTCACAGTAGTTTTAGATTTAATTTAAAAACAGTAGGAGATAACTAACACACACACATGTATGCAGCTACAACAATTAGCCTGTAGACTAATGAGGAACAAAATAAAGACATTTTGTCAGAAATTTTGAGAGGAGGAATTGTCATTGTTATATGCTTTGCTAGAATTGCATTTAAGAATGAAACAGACTGTCACCATTGGGTGTTGACATCAATAACCACTTTTATATTTACATACAATCTTATATTGAGCACTTTAACCCATAAATATAGCATGCCTTAAAATTATATTTTTAACACACACACACACAGCTCTGAATTTACATTGAGCTCTCAGGATTTCATCCTCCTTGGGACTACCCATACGGATTACCAAGTTTTTTGTAACTATAAATATATATATATATATATATATATATGATGAATGGATTTATTTTTAGTCTGACATTAATTGATATAGACTTTCAGGAAAAAACTGAACAAGGGAGTGTGCATTTCTTAAAAGGGAAATTAGAATCTTGCTAGGCCTTGACACTCTCTCTGGCTGAGCAGTCTACAGCATGCCAGATCAGTGGTTTCTCCTACATTGGGGGGGGATATAGTTTTGATCCCTGTCAGAGAGCAGCTTTTCTTTATTAAGTTTTCTCAAGTGCACAGAGCAATAGACATAATACACACTGTTTGAAATAAAAATAGAATGTCTATTTTAAACATGGTTATACACTAAAAATAACATTTGAAATATATATATATATATATATATATATATATATATATATATTCAAATGTTTATTAGACATTAAATTACATGACTTAGCATTTGCCTTAATTTACCTCATCTTTTCAGTTGGTTTGATTTATATTTATGAATATAAATAAATTTAAAAACTTTGAAAAACTAACATTTTTACTTTTGTTTATAAATACTTGTTGCAAGATAAAATCCTTTATAGTTTGTGTGTGTGTGCTCAATTAATTTGCATTCCGTTTGTATTTTCCCCAATCCACTTTATATTAAAGCTCTTTTGAGTATTTTAGGATGATTCAGAATTTATTCCAGATAAATACTAAAAAGGCTTGCAATTTATCTAAAGCAAATCTCACTAGAAAATTCAAAAATTCTTACAAATAAATTACAAATATGGAATCAGTTGGAGACTCTAAAAGAAATTCAAAGCATTTATGAAAATTTTCAGTTAACTTAAATTATGATATGGACACTACCAAACTCACCCATTTTAATATTTCCTTTTTTGAAAAGAAATCCAATAGTTTCATTCATTTTCTAGTATTATTCTGTTGGATGATGCCTTGGATTCTCTCATTTCATTTGCTGACTTCTTGTATGCATTTCAAGTACAATTCTATTATCAAGGTAAGCACAATAAATCAATAACTTAAATGTCTATCTAGAAACACTTTAGAAAAATATCAGCTTAATTCCCCAAGGAACCTTAACCAAATGTTGTTAATATTTATTGCTTGCTTTCTGTAAATAGTGACTTAACTTGATTCAAGAAGTTCAAAGTGAATCATTTGAAAATCAACCATTTGCAAATACATTTTTACCTTTTAAAATACTTGCATAAGATTTTTTTTAATAAAAATGTTTCTTCCATTTTATTTTCATGAATTTGAGATAATTTGAACCTCTGAAGAATGTTTTACTTTTCAATTTTTGTCAATTTTGTCACACTTCAAATTCAATATTATTTTAAGGTAAGAATATTTCATCATGATCATTTTTGAAACATTTTTGTGTCAATTATTTTATGAGTTTTTTTTTCTTTAATATCTGAAGTAACTTTGAAACAAGTATCTCTGTCCCACCATAAAATGCAACCATAGTTGGGTGGACAATCTCTCATAACAATTCTGCTAGTGTGACATGGCATATAAATCAAGCAGAGTAGCATTACTTTGATATAAAAAGAAGCAAAGACTAAGCCTGTCATCAAATTCAAAACTGATAAAGTTTCTTACCTTTTCCTTTATATTCTGTGAAGAACTCCAAGATGGGGAAACTTTAATCATGTGAAATTTTGTTCTATGCAGATTTGAAATAAAAAGTAAATTTGAACTTCTAAAATTTAAGAATTCAGCCATTTTTTTGCAAATGTCAGTACAAAAATGAAGGGCAAATAATCTTGTATTCTCATTGCTATCCTTCTCAAAGGATTATCATGGTTCTTTTCCAAGAACAGTATATATGAATGAGTGGATATTTTTTTAAGGTAAGGGGTTGCATACATTCAGATGCACTCTCTAAATGGGAACCAGTAGCAAGATGGGGTCCAGAACAACTGGTGGAGGCTCAGTTTCAGTGTATACCCAGACTAAGCTTTAATGCAAGAAATGTCCTTCTTGTACTTCAGTGCACATGTACACCCAACGAGTTTTAATTTTATTTTCTTCTCCTAGTCTGGCAGCTACACAAGTCTAGAGTACTGAATCATCTGCTGTTTAAGCTGCAAAGAGATGGAGTCATGACTTTCCCAGGGGTATTAGGGCAAATTGGATGCAGCAGACAGGATTTGATCTCAGCTTGCCAATTCCACTATCCATGCTAATAACCATTATGCTACCCACACCTCCAATTTAGTTATTAAACATTTTAAAAAAATAAAATGATAAAAATGTATTCATCTAGGTTTTAGATTATAAAATCAAAGAAAATTCAATTAAAATATCAACAAAATAAATAATAAAAAAAACATCATGAAATAATTCCAAGTTACAACACCAAATACTTTCTTGAAGAATTCATATATGAACTGCAATCATTCAAAATTAAAAATAATAATAATAATGATAATATCTTCATTCTTCACAGAATTCATACAGAAATGTGGTGAGATTTATTCTGTCCTCCACTGTCAACGCAGTCCGAGGGATCCAGTAGTTGTTCCTACATCCGACATAGCAAATCTTCACACTGTATCAACATGTACTTCACCTCCAGCAGATGGTGTTGAAGCAATCAGCTTTCTGCGAGCAATTATGCATTTAAGAGACAAGAAAAAAATTGGGTATCAGTTAATTTCTAGTCTTCATCCTTTGTATGATTTATCAATGCACAGATTTTAGTTAATATTGGATCACCAAAAACGTTTGTTGAGTCTATTAAGCAAAAACAAAACTGTTTTTTTTATTTTAGACTTGAACATTTCATAATTTAATTCATTGATTGCTGGCTTCAATTGGTCAAATTCAAAGCAATATTTCTTGAAATTACTCATTTGTTCCTCTGCAAAAAATTACTTCCCAATGTGTGATTTAAATATTTTCAGCATCTCCCATGCCATATAGCAATGAGTCTTCTCAAATAATGTCTTGATTTCATTGCTACCAACCTAAACGTGTTTACTCAACTCAAGCATCATTTGCAGAGAAATCTCAGACATTTTGATCATTCACAGATTTGCACAAATCTTTTTCCTTTGAGTCCAATTTTTACAATACTCAAATTAAAAACATACTGAAAATGTGGCTCATTTCTTCCATTGTCAATATTAAAATTAATAAACAAAAATACAATAAAATCCGGACATAAAAAATGCACTGATATGATAGTTGTTACGACAGAATAAAAACAAAAAAATATTCTTTTTGGAAAACTAAATTCTCTTAATACAATCTAGCAACAAAAACAGAACAAATGTTTTGGTTACCACAATACTTATATGAGTATATTTTCCTTTTTACTTGGTTCTAGATATTTTTCTCTCAAACTTTTTCATAATTGTGAATGAAAGCAAATTAAAAAAAATTATTTTGAAAGCCTGAATAGAATAGAAATTTTGTCAAATGAGATTATACATTTTCTTAAATTAATTTTGAAAAGTTTGCAAAAACTTTGAGATCCACACATTTTAATAGTAAGTCTGACTTGGAATATAAAGTGTCATTATGGAAGCCATGACAGTTTTGTATAAAAAATTAAAATCCTCATTTTATGAAAAAGATATCAATTTGTATAATGCTAAGATTCTCTTTTGTTGGCATTGTCAGTTTGTCTTTAAATAATTATTTACTATTAATTAAAAAAAAATATCTTTTAAATAAATACACACATATTTAAAGAAGTCAAGTAGAGAAAAATCATAACTACTGAAGCTGGTGCAAAAAAATGAAATATACAGAGGCAAGAGAAAAAAGAAAAAATAGACTGAGCTAAAAATTAGGTTTCATATCTCATTCATTGAAGTTCAATCAAAGTAAATCAATAAACTTCTTGTGCATGTGGATTAAAAAAAAATCACATGGAAAGGAAATACACCTGCCTCAATAATATATTGAGTTGAATATACTTTTTCATAAACAGGTTAAGTCCACAGAATCACTCCTGTTTACACAGAAATGGTTATTTTGTTTTAATAAATCTGCACAGGACTGAAAATGTGTCCATACTGAAGAATGCAGCACAAATATCAGTACACTTATGCAAATCATCTAGTTGACCCTGTCTAATAAATGACAAGAAAATGTTAATTTTCTTTTCTAGATGTTTGGTTATCCTACATATATAGTCGGCATTGCACTGACATTTAAATTCATATATAACTGAGCTAGTTTTAAAGAAATGAAAGACATTTTTTCAATTGATCTCACCATAAATCAAGAGCACATATTATGTGAATTTGCCAAAAAAAAACTGTCTAACACGGGTCAAGATTTATTTGTTTAATAAATCTCACAACGACATTGCCTACTCACTGCAATCTGAGATAAACCAAACATTTCCCGTGATCAAATATTTTAGCTTTTTCAAACTATGGGATCAAATATGGATCAAAATCCAACAGAATGATAGAATAAGGAACAAATAGGAAATGTTTATAAATCTAACATGTTTTGCCTTTATTAAAGTTTCATCAGAGAATGATATATGGAGAAAAAAGAAAGAGAAAACTTCTTGTATTTTTAATTTTTGCATTGTTTATATTTCATTGGTTAAGCAAATTTCATATGCATTTGTCTTGTCAATCAGTGTTCATGTTTAAATTTATGTAAGTGTATCATGATTCTAGTTTGTTTATGTGGGATTTGGATGATAATATATATTTGTGTGTGTGCATGTGTCTCGTAGGCATTTTTATTTATGTATGATACTTGTCTGCATGTTGATTTGGGAACATTTTTATATAATACCATTTGTAGTGGTGGTGGTAGTAGTAGGTAGACATATTTTAGATTTTTTAAGTATGAATTTCATAAAAGTTGATGATGTAATATAGTATGTTTGACAGGTATTTATAGATGGTAAAATATTTATCAGAATCCCCTCAATGTATTTCCTATGTAAATAATTATGTTCTTTTTTAATTAGGGTGGCATTATGGAATCTTCACATTAATGCAAGATTGCACCACATTCAGAGGGAAGCCATTATCACCAAATTATTATTATTCTAATGGTTTCTAGTTTTTGCTCTAATTTATTCATAGAACAGCTCAACAAAGTCTGATGGACTAAAGACATTACAAGATTAATTTTATACCATATGGGACAAAGAAATCCCATTGAGTATACAATCGCATACAATCCAATAGACAGGCATGAAAAAAGTAGAATATTGCCTTTGAACTAACATCCAATAACAGTATTTATATATATGCATATAAGGAAGAAATTGGTACAAAAAGAATAATGCTTCTTTTACAAGAATGTAGTGTATATGAAATAAAGTCCCTAAAACAAAAACAAATATTGCAAATAATTCTGAAAGGAGAGAAGTAATTTTCGGGTTCACCCATTTTGTTAGTAGCTGCCATAATTATTTCACTATCAGGATATAAGGGGGGTTCATTGGCAGTATTGCGCCAATATTGCAGATAACTTGAGTTCACTTCCTCCCTTATTACAGCAGCAAGCGAACGCTTTCACTCTCACTGCCTATCTCTCTCTCTCTGGTCAACTGCTTGTCAACTCACTTCACCCAGCTCCAATTCCAACTTCAACTGTTTATTTTTACACAAACATGTGCTTAAATAAACACGGTGGTAGCAACAAAACCCCAGGGTGTTGGTAAACTTAGAATACAACCTGATTACTGACCTCTCCTGCTTCATGATTAAATGAACAATCTCTTCTTCTCAATTCATATTCTATAGTTCATATAAACACTATTGTTTTGACATTTTATATTAATAATTCTGACGAAACACAGATTCTCTGGGCACAAACCTCACCACAGATTATTTTTCTCATCTATAAACAAAATTCTATATTACTATAATTATTAATATTTCAAGAGTGACCATTGCTCTCTGCCAAATATTAGCAAACAAATTTTGTTTATAAAATCCTACAACTATGTTAGTCAACACCAATCCTAAAGGGCTACCCATTGACATCCCATCAATTTGTCTGTGCATCTCATTGTTGAAACTAAATTCAATAGATACTGTAGCAAATTTAAGCTCAATAAAGACAGTTTGGGAAATACAAAGGTACAGAGCATCTGCACAGATATCTATTGTTTCCTGAGGTGGAACACAAGTAAATACATTGCTAATATGAAAAGAATGCAGTAAATTTTCATCAGATTTAAAAGGACAATTTTGTAATCAGTTAGCAAATGTAAAGAAATCCTTAATAAAGTATTTTGAATATTCAACACAGGTTGTAATAATTCAGCTAATCATTTTGCCAACTTATGGGGGACAGACCCAATCATCAATAAAATAGAACAGACTGGGACATTGTTCATATGGGTCTTAGATAATCAATATAGCCAAGACTGCAACAAACTAACCAGCCTGACAACCTGGCAAATATCTACTGGGAGATTTTCTTTTACTAATTTGAGCAGATGTTTCTCGAAATTAAGCTCAAAAGAGACAACCGGCTCTAATTTAATTAATTTCTCATCACTCAATATTTGACACCACCTTATTGACATAAAAAATTTAGTTTAAAATTACCACCTCCAATCCTTTGTCAAGTTAAGCAATCACAATATATTTATTGCAAAAAACTTTTTAGTACCCATAAACTTTGTAGGACAACTCAACTTCTAGAAAAGAGAATTAATCAACATGATAATTTGCATAGGTATACCAAAATTTCAGAGTTTATTACAAAAAAATTGAGTTTGTGCATCATCCTTCAGAAATGTGCAGATCACAGTCTAGTTACCAGCTGAAAGTCCTTGAGACAGTCTTTATTAAAACAATTTGTGCTATTCATACCAATTTCTGCAGCATGAAATCTTTTTTCTTGAAATGATCTCCAGATATCTTAGCACTTTGCAAAACTAATTTAAATACTTCTATCACTACCAATGGCAAGGGAATTGTCAATCAGACTGAAACCTCACATTCACAAGACTTTTGTTACCAATGTACTGATTGGGATTCATTTCACAACTTTCTTTAGACCCCTTGAAGTGATATGGTTAACCTTCCTATTGAGAATTATAACATTGAAGTTTCTTCTTGGGTTAAAGCCAGCATTGACGCTTTTGTACCGTCTCAGAAATACTGGGTGAAACCACAATATTCTCCTTGGTTCACATCTGCCCGTTCAGCTACTATAGCCCACCACAAGCAATTTTTCTGGCTGTACCAGTGTGATTGTTCTGATCACAAGACCATTTTGTGTCTGCTGGTAATAATTGCAAATGTGTCCTCAAAGAGGCTAAGTCTTTGCTGGCAGAATGAGGCACTGTATATCCTCTAACAAGTTTGGTTCTCATGACTTCTGGTGGCTCTGTAATACTGTGTTAAATAAGAGCAACTGCTGATATAATATTCACAATCATTGCTGAAAGAGTCTATCAAGCATTAGATAAGAATGATGAAGTAGTGGGCTGTTGCTTTGGATATCTTGAAGCTATCTGACAGGGTTTGGCATGCTGATCTTCTTCACAAGTTGAAAGCTTATGGTATTTCTGGACAAATTTTTGAACTAATTTAATCTTTCTTATCAAACTGCAAAATGAAAGTTATCTTGAATAGTCACTCTAGATTTTTTGCATTACGGCAGGTGTCACCCAGGGCTCTTTCCTTGAACCTACATTGTTCCTAATTTTTATTAAAAAAATTTATACTCAGAATTGTTTTATCATGTAATTTTTATCTAGTTTCCAGACAATTGCTGAGGTACTAAATTAAATAGTATATCAAAGAAACAAATGCTAAATGTCTCTTAAAATGAACTTTTTACACGCTCATCTCAATTTTATTCTGTAATGGATCTGGGGACCATAAGTGATTGGTATGGTGAGAGGTTGCATCAGAATATATGTGTTGGAATTGATGTATTATGGCCAATTTCTGATGGCATCAGTTCTCAACTCAGTATCTATATTGATGGTACAATTATTTACTTGTTTTAATACTAAGTCTGATAAGGTCAAATTGATCCCCAAAATGACCTACAATCTGTTAACTGGAGCAAGGAATAGCTTGTTAATTTGAACATCTCCAAAATTACACTGCTCTTTTTTTAATTGTCTAAGAGAACACTTCCTGCCTTCCATCAGCATGACTGATGCTAACCTCCAGGTGAGTGACTCATTGCATCTTCTTGCACTAAAGTTTTCTGCTGACATAAAGTGGAAAGATAATATTGAATCAATTGCTAGGTCTGCTGCTAGTGAAGTTGTTTCACTGTGTTGTGCTAGACAATTTTTTTTTCACCAGAATCTATCTTACATGCTTAAGTCTACCATTCATTGAATACAACTGTCACATTTAATCTGATGCTTCTGCTATAAATTTAGCAATTCTTGATAAAATATAAAGCAGAATCTGCAATGTTATTGGTCTCGACCTGGCATCTTAATTTCAGTCACTTTCCCATTGTTGTAACATAGCTTCCTTGTGCTTTATTCTTGTGGAAACAGAAGTGGTTGTGTAGACTCAATGTGATCCGCTTATAATCTGCATATTCATTTCAATAATAATTAAAACAAGTGTCTTTTCTTTCTATGTTTAAAAGAAAAAAAACAAATTGGTATGCACAGGAATTTTATTGATTTACCTCAATCAGGCTCTGATGAATGAGGCATGAAACTTGTTAACTTATTCCAATTTTTTCACTCTTTCATATTAGCTTCATGATTTTCTTTATATTTGACATTTTTAATTAAGTTCATCTGTAGTTTAACATTGATAAAAACAAAACTTTATCCTAAATGTGTATAAAACTTTTACATTGAAAGATTTCTATTATACTTTTTATTATGTGCACATCACCATCAGATAATGGTTAGTGAGCAAGTCTTATATACCATTACGACTGAAGTGAGATCAATTCTTACTGTCTACCTCACACTTATGACTTTGTGCCAAAACTAAGCTTAGTAACTTTTTCTTTTTTTATATTTGTTAGGAGTGCTTTTAGTATTCCTCCGGTGCAAGTTTTACAAGAAATCTTCACATCAACTTCAACATCCCACATTTCATTTTATGAATTTCTTATGGCTCTGGCAAGAAATGAAATGCTAAATGCTGCATTAGGTAAGTTTAATTATCAATTTTACTTTCAGATTAATCTTTCAATTTTAAAGGAAAATACTCTATATATAACAAAAGCTACCTTTAATATTTAACATTAAAAGGGAATCTCCAGAGATTTACAATAACTTCCATTTCATATCTTGTTTCTAATGTAGGGAAATATGAATAGCTTGATTCCTTGTCTTCTTAATAAGATTTAAAAGAGCTGCAGACATGCTAATAGGGTGATCAGAAGAAGAAACACCAATCAACACAACTCTTTTACAAATATATGAACATTTTTAAAAGGGGCTTTAGATATTGGTGTTTAAAAAAGAAAAGCATGTTCAAGAACTCTTTTTTACAATATCCTATGCAAGTGTGTGTGTGTGTATATATATATATATATATATATATATATATATATATATATATATTTATATTTATTTATTTATTTATTAAGAAAACTAATAAAAAAAAAAATGGGAAAAATCTTTCTTGTGACACATTTCAACTTTTAGGACTTCACTGGACAAAAGTGATGTTTATGCAGATGTAATTGCATGAAGGGGAGGGGATGCTTAAATTTTAAACTTTTAAATTAAATTTTTTTTCTTGAGTGTGTTTGGGCATATTGTCTGAAAAAAATAAATTAAAGTTTAAAATTTGTGTGACCCCCACCTCTCCTTCATGCACATATATAGTTACAGCAATGTAAACCGCACTTTAGTCCAATGAAGTCCTAAAGGATGAGACACATTAAACAAAAAAGATTTTCCCACTTTTTCTAATATTGTTCTAGTATATAAAAATTTATATATCATTTTCTTATATATTTATATTTGTTAGAGTTGCCAATTTATAAAGGGACACTACTCTTACCCTACTTGCAAAATTGACTCAGCACAATTTTCCTACTATGATTTCTCTGGCTGCAATTTCTAATCTCAGAAATTAGCTGCTGCATTCACTGACAGTAACTGGAATTCTAATGTGGACATGTGAATATTTTACTTTTCTATCTGCTCACATGGATACACATCATCACAAGTAACAAAGCCATACATCAGCATTACACAAAGTGTATAACCATCTTAGTTGCACTCCAAGTTGAAACAGAAAAAGATTTTGTTAGTGATAAGATAAGCAAAGCATTGTTCTGTGAAAATTGTTTCATTAAAACTGTTTTCTCTCAAAGAATACTGCATGTAATTACAAAACTGATGTAACTGAAAAAAATGCCAACAAGTTACACAGATGACCCATGAAAAACAACTGCAATTGAAATGCAAAGTGTGGTCTTCCTAGCTCATCTTTTTGGCACTTTCTAAACTCCGTAAATGATGTCTTGAAATAAGGAGTCAAAAATGCAACTCTTCATTTTAAAACTGACAACTATGACAAAGGAATCTCAAATTGACCACATTGGCTGAAAGCAAATATTCTTCTAGGTTACTTTCTCAAAAAGAATTATTGACTGTACAAAATTTTTGTAAACTTTAAATTTGCCATAATGAGAAAAGATTTAAATTTCAAATAAATAAGTTACTTTTACAAAAAGACTAAAATAAAAATTTTAAAAAAAAAAAAAAAAAAAAAAACACAATTTTTCTTCTTCTTTAAAGGAGGCTTACCAAGTAAATCCAAAGTGTTTGACACAAGAAAAGTGTAAAATTTTGTAAGTATTTGATTATTGTTATTTGAGTGATTTATTAATAACAATAGAAGTATAGAAAAAATCAATTTTTCTTTTTTTTCAAAATTTGGTAGAAGTTAGGGCATACAGAAAAGTTCTTGCTCTGACCAAGAAGAGATTTAAAAAAAAAAAAAAAAAAAATATCTGTTTGGAGTTGGCTAGATTTTGAAATTGCATCAGGCTAAGTTTTCATTACTCTCTCTCTATATATATATATATATATAATACAAGTAAAAAGGTTTATCACTTAACTGATTAATGTCACCCTCAGCATCCCACTTTAGAGCTTTATAGACAGACATGTCCATCCACTCGCTCATCAGCAAGTGACTGTAGATACATTCTTGATTTTTTTTTTTTTTTATATATGCACTTTGATACAAGATTTTTCTTTTCATATTGTGTGTGCATGCATTCATGCACACTTATTTGTCCTTTTCATTGGTCTCCACCTCCACCTTTCGTTGGTCTTCCCCCCCCACATATATACACACTATACAATCACTCTTTAACCTTTCCTCTTTCTTCTTTTCTTTCAATTGCTGCTATTTGGCCTCCAGTTTTTCTAGACAGGCTGTCATTTTTAATTTTTGAGCATTCTAGTCTTTTCTCGAGTTAGAAAAATTTTATTTTATTTTTTACATAATTAATTTTAATGCTTAAATGATAAGATACAAACAAGTCAGATAGTTTAAGTACCATTAGGGTATTAATTATAGGGGGTTAGGTTTATAATTAAATTTGAATTTATTATTATTCAAATTTGCATGCATGTCTGTATTCATAGGTTTATGCACTCCCACATACGTATACATATGTATATAGATATACACACATGCACATACATACACCTATGTATACAAACATACAGACTTGTGTCTGTACTTTGTTATTAATATATAAACTAGTTCTTAAATGATAGTGTTTTTATTCATATTTTTAGGGTATTAATTATGGTTGGTTAGTTGGGCTTATGGAGTATTTTATTTGATGTTTGAATATATGTATATAGAGTATATAATATATACGCCACATATGTATTTTTAAATAATGTATATGTAGTAAATTAAGTATTTTATAGCTAGTAATTTATTTGTTTTTTTCCTTGGTGTTATATATAATTATGAAAAGTTAGGTTTGTTACAAACACAGACATACACATATTGATGTGTATATTTTTTATAATTTATATTTATTTTAGTTACTGCTTAGGTAGCATAGTAAGTATTTATATGTCTACAGTTACCCATTATTTCAGTTTAAGAGTTTATTTTGGTTTATAAAACTAATTATTGCTAACTTCTCTCTCATATATATATATATATAGAGTACCGGTAATAATCTGTTGGTATATAATCCAAGTGAATCCTAATAATATAAAATATTAAAACTGATCCACAAAAAGAGCTCAATGTATTATAACAGCACATATAAGTTACATAAGAGAGAAATCCAAAATTACCTCGAGAATAGCTATTTGAGTTAATGTTAAAATGTTAGCATTATTTCAACTCAAATGGTGTGTAGATACAAAGTCAGAAACTTAAAAATTAAACTTTTTAAAGTTGTCCAGTCAAAGGAAAATGCAGAGCTTTGAAGGTTATTTACCAAGCAACCATTTATCTCCCCAAAATAAGTTAATTCACAATGTTTACATTGTTTCCATTCCCCTGCAGAAATTCCAAAGACTTTATGCCCATAGGCAATCTTTTTCCAACCCAAAATTAAAATACCTCTGCTCTTTCTAAAAGATTTTGGGAATTGAAGGAGAAAGATCTGAACCCTCAGATTGACTGAAAAATTATAGGTTTTGCTCATACCCCTAATAAATTTAAGAGTAGATGTAACCTATGTTTAGAAGAGAATATTAGAATAATAAAATTCAATAATCAAAGCATACTACTAAACCAAAGGAATGAGTTAGTTTCTAAATGTCATCACAGGAGTAGGTTTAAACTTATCTAATATATTATTGATTTTACTTAATCTTTACTCATCTAACCCATCTAATATCATACTGTTTATTCAGTTATTTCTACATCTTATATTCTCTATTTCAATTCAATCTGATAACCATCCACTACTAACTTCCTTTTTATTTTTTATCCTGTGTATGGTCAGTAATTTTAACTTTCTTTAAAATGATACATATTAATTTTTTTCCTTATTTCTTATAATTTTTTCTTTTTTTCTTTCATTTTTTACTTCCTTTAAATGTTTATAAAAAGGTTTATTTTTTAATTATTCATTTTTAATTATTAATTATTTTTAGATTTTACTTATTTACATGAATGTTTTTTAAATTTTTTAAAAAATGTTTTATAAATTTAAAATTTTCTTAAAATATTTTTATAGTATTTACATTAGTCGGACTATTGTCCTCATCTTTGTCGCCATATTTGTCACAACGTTTCGGCCGTTGTACGCTCCGGCCTTCTTCAGGTGGTTGGAATTTCGAACTGAACCCTTTATTTCGATCACTGGGGTAGACTGTTCTAATTCCACGTGCCATAGAGAGGAACATGACTAAAGACTGTGTGTACGCTATCCCATGCAGCTGCGGAAAGGAATATAAAGGAGAGACAGGCCGCCCCCTCAAGGTAAGGCTTCAAGAACACCAGAAAGCTGTAACGCGAGGGGAAGTAGAAAAATCAGGCGTGGCTGACCACATATGGAGAGAGAAGGAGATCACCGCCCCTGTGGGATCATGTTGAGATCATAGACAGGGAACACCATTGGAAAATTCGTAAACTTAAGGAATCAGCACATATGCTAGGCCACAAAAATCTCCTGAGCCGACCAAGCATAGAAATAAATACAATATGGGAACCAGTAATAAGGAGTGCCAGAGAAAAGCAATGATAACAAAGTTGCAATATGAACTCTGGTAAAGACATGTAATGATAACAGCAAAAATTGCAATATGAGCACTGGTAAAAATGATGCTGAAAACATTAGGTTTATAATACTCAGAAGTTCATACCCAGATGTCCTCAAGGACACATGGCACAGTGGATAAAGGCGTTGGTTAGATCCAGTGACAGACCCAAAGAAGGTGAGATCAATTCCTGGTTAAGGCAGTGGAGAACTTTCAGAGGGAAAATTAGCAGGAGATAACTGACATCCATCAAACATGGCACGTGGAATTAGAACAGTCTACCCCAGTGATCGAAATAAAGGGTTCAGTTCGAAATTCCAACCACCTGAAGAAGGCGGAGGCGCATAGCGGCTGAAACGTTGTGACAAATATGGCGACAATAGTCCGACTAATGTAAATACTGTACATAATACCTCATCTCAGAAATATAGACAAATATTTTTATGTTATTAATTTTCTTCATATAAATTGTCTAATTAAGATCTATTGTTAAACTTACAATTTATTTTCTTTTTTTAAATGGTTTGAACTTGATTTTTTAACGTGTTTTTTACATTTTTCCTTTCATTATTAAATTCTTCCTGCCATTATTTAATTTGTATCAATATCTCAGTTACATTCAAAGAGGTCTTTGAATGTAACTGAGATATTGATACAAATTATTAACCCTTACGCCCCACCTTCTTTTCTTTTTTTTTTTTTTCTTTTTTAAATAATTGCTCTAGCATTACCATAGTAATTTTAATAATGAATATGCTTGTAAAACGCATAAATTTCAAGAATTAGTTATTCAAAAAAAAAAAAAAAAAAAAAATTTGCTTGAAGATGGAACAGAGCTTGGTACTTGAATTCAATTTAATTCAAATAATTATATTGAAGTTTTCAGCTCTTGTTTTGAAACATGAAAACTCTTATGTAGTGATGGAATCATATTTTTAAATAAATAATTATATTTAGGCTCTACTTTTGTATCAAGCACTGTTTTTTAAAAATAATAACAAAAATACTAAAGAACTTTGGATTATTTACCTAACGAGTTCTTTCCCATTTTCTATATATTTTCACACACACACACATATATATATATATATATATATATATATATGGACACATGGCCAAGTGGTTAAAACATTCGCTTTCTGACCATGGGACCAATGTCACCATGGTTGGTTTATCAGGAAGTAGACTTCCTGACCATCTGAAGAGGGTGATCCCAGCATACTGGCACCTTTGAAAAGTGCCTGAAAACCATACCACAAGTTGACCTAAGACTAGTGAGTGAAATTGGGTAGACGGAACCCGTGGGGGCCATTGATAGCTATGTTAGTATGATGTGATCAAGAGTTTGAGTGTGCTGGCCTTGTTCAGATTGTTAATCATGCTAGATAACACACTCTCTCCCAGAAACTATAACTAAGGTCTGCTCAGCATAGTTACAGTATAAACTACAAGTTGGTTCTGGGAGTGTTGAACAAATACAAATGTGCCTGAGCAAGCGTCTGCAATAGGGATTGGCTAGCCACCCTAATAAATGGATATCCTCGAATACGAGTGGCCAGCTATTGTGCATGTGTGTTATACATATACAGGGTGTGATGGATAAATTGGCTAAATTATGCAAAAAGGAAAATAACACAGACATCTCATTTTAACATATATTTACCAAACTTACAGAAAAAAAATCTTAAAATACTAAAGAGTAAATTTATTCAATAAAATCTCCATTGGTTCCAAGCACAGCCTTCAGAGAAATTTGGAATCACTTGTAACTCTTGTGGATGGTCTCCTTGTTTATGTTGATGAATACTGCCATAATACTTGACTTCAGTTTCTTGCCAACAAAAGTCCTTGTAACACCAGTTTCAAGGAATTTTTTGATCTCTTGCTCAACTGCACAGCACACACAATTATGTTGCAGTCTGGGGAGTTAGAGGGCCTGATGTAAGGGGGTCATGTGATCACAGAAATTGTCTGACAACCATGACTGGGTTCTGCTTGTGTGGCATGGTGCAAAGTCCTGTGGCCAGACATAGGGTCTTCCAGCAGCCACCCTTGTGACCCAGGGCAACACTATCTCCTCAAGGCACTTGACGTAGGCCTCCAAGTTGAGTCTGAGGTCCTCACAAACAAATTTAGGAGTTCTTTACTTATCAGTTTTCCAAGCTGCCGTACCTTCATAATCACTATTAGACTCATCCAACTCTTTCCAGATCCTCTGCACTGTCCCAGATTGACCTGATTTTATTGTTATATAAATCAGGTCAGTCTACATGTATCTATCTCCTCATACTATTCTCATGTCTAGACATTACTACCCTCTCTCCTTCTTTATTTCTTCCTCTCCCCATCTTGTCTTTTCCCTATTTCTTTTACTCTTTCTCCCTTTCTTTGCTTCTGCCTGGCTTTTAAAATTTGTTTTAAGCCAGTTTCATTTTATTTTTTCTTATTAACCTGATGGGTTTGAAAATCCATACAAATTAATCTTAATTTGAGGGGTGAAATGATCATAACCATGAAGTAATCTTAATTCCTATTGTATGTAATTTATATGCTCTGTTTGAATAAAACATTGAGCTCTCTATGTGAATCAGTTTTAATATTTTATATTATATTATTAGGATTCACTTGGATTATATACCAATGGATTATTACTTTTATTTATATATATATTTTTTTTTTCAGTATTCCAAGCATTTATTATTATGTTTTGATTTGTCTTTTAAAGTAGAATATGTAGTTGAAGCAGTTTTAATTCCAAGGTCTTTGAGTTTATCAATAATTATTTGATTAAATGTATTTGTAGGTGAAGAGATATCTAAAATCTTCAGAATTCTTTTTCATGTTTATCATTGATGTATCTGGTTTTTACATTTACAGTTCATGTGTATATTTAGAGCTTTCTTTTGTGCAGTTGGTATGAAGTAAATAAAGTATTGTAGTGACTTGAATGTGTTTTCATTGTATTTAATGTCTTCATCTAAATATTTGAGGGGTAAGGGGAAGGCTATACTAAATGCTCCAAGATAAAAACCCATTACTATACCAGTTTTAGTTTTATTGTTATGGCTTGAGTAAAAATGTATGCATTCATTATTATTTGTTGACACTGTGAAGTCATGCACATGAAGAAACAGATGATGAAAAATAAAAAAGCCAATTTTCACTTTATTTCAAACTAAACTCTTCTGAAATATCAGCTGTCAAACAGCATAAAAAAACTAAAACAAAACAATTATCAGAGGCAAATACCAATTTCGCAAGATATTGATTTTACTTTCAAAATATAATCATCAATAGTGCAATTCTAAAGATCATTATATATAAACAACTCAGAAGATGAAAAAGTAGATCAATGTTTGTCATTCTTGAAAAAAATTAGAAAGACCACAAATGTTTAACTGCAGAATTACTATGTACAATTTTTTATAAACATTTTATACATAATATAATTTTTTTTGTGATTCAGTATAAGCAAAGGCAAAAGAAGTTTCCAGCAATGAATTCCTCTGAATTTTTTTTAATATTCCTTTCATGCCATTTTAAATTGAGCTTTAAAATATTTACATTAACAAACTACTCAGCTAACATTATCAAAAGGTTTTGTTTCAAAACCTTTCATGACTGTTTTAGCCATGTCACATTTTTGGCAGTGGGAATTTGACATTTGGACATCATTTGATGTTTATCAAGAAAAGCAAGAAATTTCTCTCTCACTGTACTCAACTAGTTAGTAACAAAATTTGGAATTTTCTTAAAATAAATCTTATCAAAGTTTTATATTTGCAAAAAATAAAATAAAATTTAAAGTGCAAATTATAACAGTTTAATTCATGAGAATAAGTTTTATTTGATTATTTTAAAAATAAACAACTTTTTAATTAGAAAATTCTAAGCAAATAAATAGTATTTATTTTTAAAAACCGATTTATTTTTTTAGCTTCAATCTTTATTTTTTTAAGTATGTGTAATAAATAAATAACAATCAGTTCCATTACAAGCAACAACTGATTTTCAAGAATTAGTCATTGAGATAAAAATAACTTTATCAGGAGACTTTAAATATGGAAGAAAGCAAGCAGTAATTTATGTTCTTTTCTAAATTATTCCATATATTAAAATTCATAACAAATATAAATTTTTTTTCAATGTTTAACAATAGAAAAAAATAAATTATTAAATCAGTGATGAAAATTGTTTTACCATTTGCTGTTTTATTCATGTCAAGATGAATCACTTTATATCAGTCAATATGTACATTAAGACAGACATTCATTCAATTTCAGATTCAAACAAGAACCAATCTGGATAGAATTTGAAAGTGGAAAAAACTCTTCAATTTTCCACCTCTCAGGAAGTGATTATTTGAATTCTTTATAAATTTATACCACGTCAACTGCGGAAATCACTTGCCGATTTACTAGAGAATAAAACTCTGGAAAAAGAAAAGAACTAATTAAATATGAACACACAAACACATTTAACATTTATTAAAAGAATGTATTTTAGGAAAAAATCAATTATTTATTCTTAAAAGAAAAGAAAATTTCCTGAATATTTTATTCTAGCTCAAATTCATTAAATTTTACTTTCAATGAAAATTCTGTCACTTTACTGAACAAGTGGTGACCAATTTCTTTGGCAATAAAATGAAAATTTGTTTTCCATCATGACAGCAGCTTTTAGTTGATTTTGTTCTAAACATACAGATTTCAAACTATCATTTGCAAACTATTCACAATAATTCAATAAAATTAAAGATGATTTATTGCATAAATTTGAATAAAATATTCTTTTCAGGTTGAAATCATATCTATTTTGACAGATTCTCTCAAGGGCCTTATTTTTCTGTAAGTAACTGCCACCAACAAAAATGTTATGAAAGAGATATTACAACTTGTTCTACCTAACACCTAGACAGTTCATTTTTTACTTACATTCAACTTGAATATTTTCTCTTCAAATGGTATTGATTATAAACAATAATTAAGTTTTTATCTTCAAGCTACTCTGTAAACTTAACTTTTTCTAATAATTTACTGTTACTCAGCTGCATTTAAAATCAATAAGAATGCAGAAAATGTGAACTGCTATCAAAGAGTTTCATATTGCTGTTCCAGTATTTCACTAAGTATAATCACATCTAAGAGAATAAAATGTACCAACTAAAAATCAAGATTTGCCTTTGGTAAAACAATTGTGTAAGCATGACCCAAAACAAATCACATACAACAGATTTTGTCTGATGTCTGTACTTTCTTTTATCAGTTGAAAGAGAGGCTAAACAAAATGACAAGAAAATCAGATGCCTAATATCTAATCATAATATAAGATCATTGCAAAAGTTTGTGCCAATTAGAAAATTAAAACCAAAATTTTACAGTAAATTTGCTTTTTAACACCCAAACACCCGTGCGCTAAATATCTCTTAAAATTTTCCCAAATTGTCATAATTCCCTCTAAATGTACATGCTGAACTCAAACTAACAATTAAATTATGAAGAAACTTACCGTTTAGGAGTTATCAACAAGAAAAAAAAAATCAGACTTCTTGCTGGTCATTCATCCGCCATTACTGCCATAATGTTCAGTAATTCACAGCAGGGTACATCCAGCGGCGTAAGCATAAATTTTGGCCTATTTACTTCTTTTACAGCTATATCTCTTTGAAATCACTACGCATTATCGTAAAGCAATTTGCTTTTTTTTTGATAATTGTAGTTTTATTTATAACAGAAAACTTTAAACATAAACAAATTCATTAATAAAACCTTTTTTCTTTGTAGAATAGCAATGACAAATTAAAAGAACAAATTAAATACAATAAAGCATTTTTTATATTTTAAAATTGAAAATAAAACAATAATTAATGTGCAAACTTAGTAAAGTAGAAACGAAATAAGGGTTGATTGTATTATTTAATGTTTTTTTTTTTAATTTGTCCCCTTTTCTACACAGAAGAACCCTAACCTTAACCTATAAACATACAAAATAAAATTACAAAATAAAAAAAATGCTAGTTTATTGTATTATTTAATAATTTTTTTTTTCAATTTGTCTGCTTTTAATTTCAAAGAAAAAAAAAGCTTTATTGTATTATTTAATTTGTTCTGTTAATTTGTCATTGCTATTCTACATGGAAAAAAGGTTCTATTGTATTATTTAATTTGTTTTTGTTATAAATAAAACTACACTTACAAAAAAAAATTACACGCTACAGGATGTACCCCGCAGTGAATTACTGAACATTATGGCAGTAATGGTGGATGAATGACCAAAAAGAAGTCCCATTTTTTCTTGTTGATAACTCCAAAATGGTAGGTTTCTTCAGAATTTAATTGTTAATTCTAGTTCAGCATGTACATTTACATGGAATTATGACGATTTGGGAAAATTTTAAGAGATATTTAGCGTGAGAATATGAAGGGTGCTGGGAGGTTTCTTCATTTCACTCTAATCTTCTGCAAGGTCTGTATTGCAACATACTGTTTTACATTGTTTTGGTAGAAAATGACACATTTTGATTTGACAAAATCGACAGTTTTTCTTGAATAGCCATATCAAGATTGGTGAGTTGGTTACAGTACTTCATTGCAGTTATTGTTTCACCGACTGGAAGTGAATTATCCCTGTGCAATCCCACCAAACAGACATCAACACCTTCATTGAATGCAAGCCTGTTTTAGCCACGGATTCTGCACATTCACAAGCTTGTTTCCAGCTCCATTTCCATCAAACATTATCATAAACAATCCATTTTTCATAAGCCAGTGACAATTCTGTACAAGAACAGCTCCTTTTTGTAACAGCAAAGAAATTGTTGCAGAAACAACATCAATCCTGCTGTCTTCCATCAGAAAATATGGTATGTACATGTCAAGTTTGGAAACAAAATTGAGTTTTTTCAAATGGTAAAGGCAATTACAATTTTCAAACACTTGGCAGTTTTTTTTCCATCAAAATCTTTGTGTTATTCTCCACAATGGCAAGCAGAGCATCTTCATTGATGTTGGAAGGTCACCTGGAGCATGGTTGATAGTTTAGATTAAAATCACCCTGATGAAATCTGCCAAAACACTTTTTGACTGTCCAAAGAGCTGAAGCATGAGTGAAATAAACCTTCAGGATGTTTTTTAGTCACATTTTCAATGTTTACCCCTTTCCGAAATTCACAGAGCATAATACCGTGAAAGTGCAACTTTTCATGCTCCATCTTTAAGGTATTCATTTGTGAACAAAATGTCAGCATTCAACAAAGTCTGACTTGCAAAAGAATGATGCATGGTTTCAATTTGAAACACACCAGAAATTGGTACCAAGACAAACACCACCATCAAGTTGCTGTCATTTTATATGAAAATTGAACACAAACTTTTGCAATGTTCTAATACATTTCAATAATTTAAGGCTCAGTCAAAAAGTAGTAATTCCTATTCAAACAATAATTTTAAAAATATTAGCCAGAATTACATTTTAAGCTATAAATCAATGTATCTAGAAAATCAGGAAAAATTTATGAAGTTATCTTCACTTTTCCTATACATAATACTCTTTGAAAAAGGCTGTCTCAGAAAACAAAGAGCTGTCAGAAAGTTGATTTTAGGAGAACATATTGCAAATATTCAAAAGTGGTTAGTGAATGTTTATGGAAACCCTACATTTGATGAAAGCACAGTAAGATGTGTCAGTAGAGCAGGTACCTCCACTAATTTTTGATACCTAAGGTTTAAAATGAATTTTAAAAATGAAAGCTTTCTTTTTAGCTTTAATTGAAAGCTAAATGATTAAATTTACTATTTCCAGTAAGCAAAATACCCTGATGTATTTCAAATAGAAATAATATTGATTTGAATCTCAACTTTTTGGTCACTTTCAGAAAATCTTTTAAAATTGGCCATTTTTGACACATTTGTAAACAAAAGTTAATTCTCAGTTTTAAAAATCTTCCAAAAATAAAATATACTTTTCTGAAACTTTATTCGAGAAATATAAGCTGATTTTAAAAAAATATTTACTTTAAGTTGAAAATAACAGAGAAATGGATTTTTAAAAACAAACAGTAGTGGTGATTACACATTTGTCACTGATGTTTGTTGCTCATCAATCATGTAACAAGTACTGATAAAATGTGTCAACACCTTTATTATTGTTCTACAGTGACTTTATCTGTTAAAACATAATTTAAGAAAATGATGGGTGAGCGCCTATTTTATATAATTTTTAAGTACTCAGTAATGTTAAATGTTGGAAAATATTCTCTGTAATCTAATTTAAGGAATGTTGATTTTAAATTTACTATAGCCATCACTCTTATTTTCTGATAATGTCATGTATGGTCAACCATACTTTCAAATGGGCACATTACATAATATTTTATATACATAAAAAAAAAATTTAATTATTTTAAAAATCTTGGTGCAAAATACTTTTTATTAGGCTTTTCAACTTTTGATTAGTAAATATAGTTTACACTTAATAACAATATCACCTAATTAGATGAAAGTAACGCAAAATTTTAAAAGATTTAGATATTATAAATTATTATAATTAAAATTAAAAATATTGAAAACAATTCTTGTAAAAATTCATTATTCATCAGAAAATTTTTTTAATAAATCTTATTTATAAAAGCAATTAAAAGCTTTTTCTAATAATGTCAGTTTTATTGCATTTTTTTTATGATTCAGAACAGAGTAGTAGTTTGAACAAAAAAAAAAAAAAAAAAAAAAATGATGATTGACATTCTCCAAGAACTCCTGCTTTTAACTAATAAAAACATTTTCTGATGAAAATTTAATTTCTTGAAATTTCATGAAATTAAGTGAGGTAACATATGTAAAAAATAAAAATATTTTTTGCCAAGATTTTCTAAAAGATAAAATTTCAAAAATAATTTCATTTAATTGTGAATAAGCAGGGAAAACAATGGCTACTATATTTTTGAACAAAGAGTCATCATGCAGTTAGAATTTATAACAAAAAGCACTGCTATCAATGCTAACTCTTACATGAAGACATTGTCAGAACTCAGAGCAAGGCTTCTTTAAGATAGACCATATTTGAAGATGAGTGATATGCTTTTGTAACATGACAATGAAAGTCTTTATATCCCCTCTACAGTGCTTACTTGGCATCAAGATGAGGGCACTCAAAAAGCAGAAGTTCTCCAATGATGATAAAGTGAAAGATGCAACTCACACATAGATAAAAAGCAGTCAACATGCCCCCAGTCAAAAGTAGTATATCATGATTGAGAAAGGAAAGTATGTTGGAGAATATGTTAAGGATTAGAGTTGAAATTCAGAGAATTTTGTGTTCATTTTAGTATTCTTTAGCTATTAAATCTATCATAATTAAAAATTATTACTCTTTGACTGGCACACTGATTTAATCCACTATTGAATTTAATCATGCACTGGAAGCACAGTTGTTAATCACAAATACCCAAGAGAAAATGAATTTTCTTTCCCTATTTAAAACTCATAAAATTTAAATAAGTCTGGATTCATTACATATCTTTCAGTGTGCTTTTATTATAATACATACCTGCGAGATTTTCGACTGGATGGAGCATCTTCAGCTCCTAAACTTGGTAATTTGGATAGAAATCTAAAAGAATCGGAGAAAAAAAAATTTTTTTTTTTTTTTTTTTAATTTTCAGTTCTAGATAAAATTTGAAGGGTTCTCAGAAATGTAAAAAGAATCTATAGATTTATTAATGTTTTAAATTTTTTAAATAATATTTCAATTAATGAGTATCTTTGAAGAGAAATTGAGGTATCCAAAGTCAGGGAAAAATTCTTAAAACCAACCTATTATTTCCAGTAGAAGCAGTCATCAATTGAGTCCTTGTTAAATTTCGAGACGGAGCCTTCTTGCTTCCTAAAATAACAAATAAAAACAAATTTGTTAGTACTTTATAAAATTTTTTTAAAAATTCATTTATTGAAAAGTTTTACTTTAAATTACTAATTAAAACACTATAATCCCATCCAATAACAAATTAAAATGCACAATATATAAACATCAAATAAGGTAAGCAAAATAATTTATTTGATGCCTGCTACTCAAGAGAATGGAGTTTTCCTTCAAAGATCAAATTTACAATAGCAGACATGAAGCTACACACACATTATATATATATATATATATATATATATATATATATATATATATATATATATATATATATATATATATATATATATATTGCTCTACTTTGTATTGAGCACTTTTTAAAAGTAAATGCTACAAACAGTGGATTTTACTTCATGTGTTTTTTCTCTTATATAACAACCCAATATACATTAACAAAAATTCTAACCACCCTACTAATATATTCAAACAAATACCCATATCTATACATTAAAGAATTTTAACAAATTCTAGAAGCCTAAAAATATTCATTGAAAAAAAACAAAAAAAAAACATGAATCAGCCCTAAGACACAGCAGATATTCAAACTAGAATAAAAACAAAAACAATTTAAACAAAAACAGAAAAAGAAATATAACTTAGTTCAAACCCCACCTACAACAATGCAATAATAACAAAAATAATCTTCAAAATAATTGTCAAACACTTCTGTAAAAACAGTAACTTATAAAAAAAAATTAACAACAATATAATAAAAAATTAGTTACAGCTGCATGGATAAAATAATAACTAAGTACAATAAAAAATACTTAAAAATAATAACAATAACATGCAGCAAAATAACACTATTAAATGTAACTACAGAAACAAAAAAAATTGCTCACTTAATAAATGTTTAACCAATAACAAAATATGCAATATCATAACTAACAACACTAATACAGATGAAAAAATTTACATAGGCACCACAGAAAAAAAAATGTAAAAGATATAACCACAAAATGCAATTTGAAAGAAAAAAATAAAAAATACACAACCAATACAACAGTATCAAAATACATATGGAGTCAAAAAGAAAACAATATCCCAACCCAAATCAAATGGAGAATTTAAAAAATGAGCAACCCCATACAGTATTAACAGTAAAAATTCTAAATTATGCTTAGAGAAAAAGTTAGCAATAATTAGTTCCAAAAACCAAAATAAACTCTTAAAAAAAGTAAACTGAAATAATGGGTAAATGTAGGCATATAAATACTTAATTTGCCATCTAAGCACTAATTAAAAATAACCAAAACAAATATTAAACATACACACACCTCTCTCTCTATACACACACATATATATATATATATATATATACACACACACGAATGCATGATTTTCTAGGTTAGTCATGTAGAAGTTGCTAAATGTTGGTTCGAGAACAGAACACACAGAAACAGCATAGCATTTTATATATACATTTTTTCTTTTTTTAATTAAAAAATTGACTTAGTGTAAATTTATATCTGTTTTTTTTTAATTATTTTTCTCCCAACTACGGAGATTCAAGGCCCACATCTGTTTTTCCTGTATTTGTGTTTTTTCTTTGACTGTTAGCCAACATTCACTCATGTGTCTATTAATCCAGTCAAGAGTATACTTCCATTACATAACAGATGCATGCATGCATATCCCACCACACACAGATATATATGCGTGTGTGTGTGTATGGATTTACCATTTAAGCATTAATATCTGTAGTATATATATATCAGGTCATCCCATAAGTTCTGTCCGAATTTTAACTTTTTGTTAAGATGAACGAAATTTAAAGAGTATTTTATAATGTCTAATGGAGCTGAACATTATTTTTTATGTTTAGATGCATTTAAACTGATCAAATTTTATTTCAGAGAACAATAAAATTAAATTTTGTTTGATTAAAACCCTGCTAACATGGAAGTACCCAAGAATCATTTGAAGCACATAATGCTTTATGAGTTCAAGAAAGGAAACTCAGCAGCCAAAGCAGCTAGAAACATTCACTCAGTTTATGGAGAGGAATGTGTGAATGAAAGAACTTGCAGAAGATGGTTTGCAAAATTCAGAGGTGGAGATTTCACCCTTGAAGAAAATTCTGCTTTATCAGTTGAGAAATTGGCAGTGGTTCTCAGTTCAAACCATACAACTGTTCATCGTCATCTTCAACAACTTGGAAAAGTTCCTAAACTTGGAAAATGGGTGCCTCATGAATTGTCTGAAAACAACCTCAAATCTTGAGTTGACATCTGCTCTTCTCTCCATTCTCATCAACTTGTTTCACCTTTTTTGGATAGACTTGTAATGGATCTTTTATCGAAATGTTAAGTGTCGTAGAGAGTGGCTTGGTAAAGGGGAAGGACCCCAGCCACAGCCGAGAAGGGAACTTCATGGGCAAAAGGTTCTTCTTTCAATCTGGTGGGATCGCCAAGGAATAATCCACTTTGAATTCTTACCACCTAATGCAACAATTAATGCACAAATATACTGTCATCAATTAGAGCGTTTGAACCAAGCTTTGAGGAAAAAAGATCTGCTCTAGTGAATCGAAAAGAGGTGATGTTTCATCAGGGCAATGTGCGACCCCACACAGCAAGAATCACGTCACAAAAGATAGAACTTGGTTGGGAGAAAAATCCTCATCCACATTATTCTCCTGATCTTGCTCCTTCAGACTACCATTTGTTTCGTAGCTTACAGAATCATTTGGAAGAAACAGCTTTTGTAACAGAGGAACATTTGTGAGTTCTTTGAATAAAAGCCAAAAGAATTTTACAGTAATGGAATTAGTAAGCTTATTAATAGATGGAAGGAAGTCATAGATAATCAGGGAAAATACATTGTTGATTGAATCTGTAATTAAATGTAACATTTGGTCACTTGTTTTCTTTATTCAAAATTCAGACAGAACTTATGGGATGACCTGATATATATTTAGGCAGCAATCCTTCGTTTATGCATGTTTCATTAATAAAACATATATATATATCTCATTTATACAATATCAATTAAAAAATTTAAAAATGTCAACTGTTGAAAGAAAAAGGAAAACAAAGTGAAAGTTAAAGAGCAAGCGTACAGTGAAAAAAGAAAAAAAAAGGGAAAATGATCACAGCACTCTACATATACACACAAACATGCACAACAAAATACAGGAAAAACTTACACCAATGTTAAATGTATACAAAAGAAAAAAAAATATTGAAAAAATATAAGCAGTAAATTGCTGATACCCACTGAAGAGTGAATGGGCAGGTCCACATGAAACTCTGGAATCAGGATGTTGAAGGTAACATCAATCAGCTTATGACAAACTTTTACTCATATTAACTATATATATATATATATATATATATATATATATATATATAACCTTAAAGTGGTCTGTTTTTATTTAAATTATATATATGTATATATATATATATATATATAAATGAATGAAAAGAGAAGAGGAAAACTATACTTAGTTTTTAGACAACACATTTTGTCATCTGCTGGACTTTATCAAGGCAAATGTAAACAAAAAAGTTCTAACACCTAAAGTTTTCAGTTAACCTGATGAATATTTATAAGCATTCTTAAATTTAAAAATTTATGCTTGTTGCAGAATAAAATATATATCTATAAATTTTATTTTGCTTTGTAACAAGATGTGAAAATATAATGCACAAACTGAATTGAGATAAAAACCAATAAGACCACTCTTGATATATACATCTGAATGAACCAACTAAAATACTAATATGTTACATTAAAGAAAACGGGACAAATATTAGCAACTTGGCTAAAAATCTTATAAAAAATTTGCAACATATCAATTCTGAATTTGGTGGAATAGATTTTGCATAAAAAGAAAGTGCAAAAAAAAAAAAAGAATGCTATAATACATGTCATTATCTTACCTGTGGAAATTTTTCTATTACACATTGAAGGTACTCCTTGGCGGTGTAGTGTTTTCCTGTTTTCTTTAGCTGCAGGTGAGCGTACACTAATAACTGGTTTTACTTTACATGTTGGTAGAAGTCCCAATTCTATGGAAGGTTGAGTTTTTGTAATTGTGCCACCACCGACCAACAGCAAATGAGCTTCATTTCTTGATAAAAGATTTTAAAAATTAGTTAAGAGTTTTTTTTTAAAACATTAGAAAGAAATTGACATTGAAAATTTAATTTTTGACTTTACAAAATGAAGGCAAATGAATCAAGTAAATATTATACAGCAAAATTGCAATAATTCAATATACCAAATTAATTTAATTTTCTAAATAGTCTTTGGCAGTAAATATTTCTGAGTTTAGATACAGTTGACCATTAACAACCATTTCTAGTATTGCTTAGTACATGAAGATATCCAAATCAGAGTCTAGTGGCTTACTGCATAACCTATCAGTAGGAAAATGTGATATGTCTTTTTTTTTACCTTCAGTATGTGTATTTAAAAATAAAATCAAAATCTACAATGAATGTATTAATTGTAAAAAAAAATAAAACATCTGACATCTCCCAGTTTTACTCACATACCTCACTGGGAGTAGATTTGTAACTGTAGTAATGATAACAGAAAATTGCAGTTATACAAGCTTTACCTTTCTCTCCAAATTTTTTTTTCTTAATATTGTCAGATCATACTTTTTACCAAACTAAGTTCATCATTTATACCAACAGAAATAAAGAGATTAAGTAAATAACTTTGAAAATTTAGGACATGCCAATTATTTAATGTTGGTCAATTTTGTTTAGCAGTATATCAATCTCTCTGGCTTATTTAATGCTGAAATCTAAATATTTTGTACACAATTTTATGGCTTCAACTGAATATATTTTGAACACAATTTTATGTCCCCAACTATAGATAAAATATATTGTTGGTCACTTTACTATAAATATGTATTGATGGTCATTTTTTCTTTTTTATATGAAAATGAATTTTATTAAAGATGATATTCTGTCATATTGACATAGAATATTGCTATGCGTGATAACGATCGCGAAATAGCAGACACAGGTTGTAAATTCATGATGCAGTTCTATGATGTTGTACCCTGTGAGAGACCAAAATAATAACAGAACCATACGTCTAGATTCAATATAATATGTTGTGACTAGTTTGAAATGTAATTTTCTTGAATGTGGTTGCTTTGTTTTAATGTAAATGGCCTCCAATATCTGAAGGTTCTTTTTACTGTGTGTATGTGTGAGTATTATTGTGTTATCAACTAATATCTATCTAATATTATGTGCATGGCTATGTTTTTCTAAGAAATGTTATTTAATAGAACTAAGATCAGAAAGGTGACAGGTAAGTCTACAGGAGAGTATGGTTGTAGTAAAACCAATATATGTAGTGGTTTTATTATTAGTATCAGAGATACAATCTCTGAACAGGCATGTAAATTGATACATTACATTGGTTTTTTGTAGAGGATTTAGTTGTATGGTTGTAGTTTTATTAGAGACAAGGTCAATTGTCTTAAATTTCTTATAATATATGATGAGCTTAACTTGTTTATTATTAATGGGTTTAACATTTCTACCTATTAGGTACAATTGTGAGTGTTGTTTCATCATGTTTGTAATTATTATGCATTTGGTTACAATAGTATAAGTTAATAGTGTTATGTTTCTTTTGACATACACTATTATTAATATTTTCAATTTTGTTAGAGGTATTTTTAAGTTTATTGAGATACATTTTAATTTGTTGATCAATGACAGAATTAGAAAATCCATTATTAACAAGTGTTTGTCTGTTTTGTAATTCTTTATAGAATATGGTTTTGGAAGAAGATATCATTTGTGTGCATTGGATTAAGTTTTTATATAATGGCTAACTTATATCATTGGGGACATTCACTATTATAATTAAGACAACTTGAGTTAATGCTAGTGGGTTTCCTATATAGAGAAGTAGTAACTGTCTATATTTCTGAGATGAGGTAATATGTACAATATTTACATTATTCAGACTATTGTCCTCATCTTTGTCACCATATTTATTACAATGTTTCAGCCGTTGTACACTCCGGTCTTCTTCAGGTGATTAGAATGTCGAACTGAGGTAGACTGTTCTAGTTCCACATGCCATGTTTAATGGATATCAGTTATCTCCTGTTAATTCCCCTCTCCAAGTTCTCCACTGCCTTAATCGGGTATGAACTCATTCTTTCGGTCCTGTCACTGGATCTAACTAACACCTTTATCCACTGTGCCATGTGTCCTTGAGGACATCTGTGTATGAATTTCTGGGTATTATAAACCTAATGTCTTCAGCAACCATTTGATAACTGACATTCATTAAACATGGCATGTGGAACTAGAACATCTACCCCAGTGAGCGAAATAAAGGATTCAGTTCGACATTCCAACAACCTGAAGAAGGCTAGAGCGTACAGGGCCGAATCGTTGTAATGAATATGGCAATGAAGATGAGGACAATAGTCCGAATAATGTAAGTAGTGAGAGAAGTAGTAAATTTATATGTGCTGGAATCAATAAATGCATCAAGGAATGTAATTTTATTAAGTAAAATTTGAGGACAGAATGACTTTCAAAAGTTGTGTAATCTGATCAATATTTTTAGCTAAAACAAAAATGTCATCTATGTATCTTACATATATAGGGGGTTTATTATCTTTGATGGTGAATATCTTTGTTTAAATATCTGCATAACCACTTTGAAGACAGCTGATGTGAGCCGAAAGCTTAGATCAAGGAACAGCTTAATAAAAAAAAATATCCAAATGTTGGACAATTTTTGTCTTTATTTTCACCCGAAATTAAAGCAAATATTCATAGATTAAAATGGCTCATGATCAAACATAAAACATTCATTGTCTGTTATATTTAACAATATGTTTAAATATATACATACACACACATATGAGAGAGAGAGAGTTTTGATTTCTATGTCCATATTGTCTATATAAACACTTTCTCTAATACCGAGCATTCTTCCCCAATAAATATAATTTTTTAAATATATATAACTTGGTCTTTACATTGGGTTGGAACAAAAGTTTGCAGTGTTTTTCAATATATGGCATATGAACAAATAATTTAATTTCACTTAATAGAGTGAAATTTATTGCACATATACATATTCTGAAGGGTGTCATTTCAACGTCTTTCTATATAACTTAATTTATGATTGGATTGAGAATTTTAAATGGTTTTTTTACATTAATTTTGATGTTCCAAGCTTTTAATTTGCTGCTCAATTTTTTCATCATTTGATGTTCAGTTTTTTTTCCAGAAAGGAAAAAATGCTCTTCAAACAACAAAAAAGGTATGCTCATGAAGATGGTGTCATAGCTGAGAGTACTGTTCATAAATGGATCACTAGGTTCAGAAGCAGAAATTTTGACCTTGAAGACTGAGAACATTCCAGCAGGACTGCAGTTATTGATGATGACCAAATCAAAACATTGCTTAAAAATAATGCAAATTATACAACACAGGACATCCCAGAGATACTGTACATGTCACTACATTGTTTGGATGCCTCACAATTTAATAGAAAAAAGTAATTTAATGGGCAGCATTTCAATCTGTGATTCTCTGCTCAAACCTGACACAAACAACCAATTTTTTAAAAGAATAATCACAGAAAATGAAAAATGGATTGTTTACAAAGATATGGAGTGTAAAATGTCCAGGGAAATAAATGAAAGGAATCTGCATTAACCAGTCTAAAAGCTGGTCTGTATCTGAAGAAGGTGATTCTGTGTATCTTGAGATTGGAATAGGATTTTGTATTACAAACTTCATCCACAAAATCAGATGTTCAATTCAGACAAATACTTTTCCCAAATGGATTGACCAAAGGCAGCAATTGATAAAAACTGTCCAAAAAATGTGGCATCTTCCATCAGGACAACACCATAACTCGCATCTCTTTGCTGATCTGGCAGAAATTAGTACAGCTTGCACCTTCACATTATCGCTTATTTTGATCCCTACAAAATTCTCTTAATGTTCTAGCTTCAATTCTTTGGAAGCCTGTAAAAAAAAATACCACAGTTCATAAGCCAGAAGAAAAGAAAAGATTCTTAAATATTCTAATAAATCTATCTTACCTTGTTGATGGCAAATCTGCAGGGGAAAGTATTTGTGATGAAGGAGTGTGATTTGGTTTGTTATTAATAGATGTCAAAGGGATTTGTTCAAATAAAACTTTCTTTTCAACCAATGGATATGTCACAGTTTCTGTAAAAACAGGAAAAAAGATAAATGACAAATTAAAAAAAAAAAACTACTAGAAAAGAAAGAGAACTATTCTACAGAAAAGTAATATTCTAGATATTATTATGCAATCATAGAAATAAATCTATAAAGAAAATGTATCCAAGTTTGCAGCTAGGTCACATTAAAAATAGCAATCCTAGACCACCCCACTACAAAATAACTTAGTTTTGAAGATCTTTAGAACAGCCAATTTCAGAAAAATAAAAAGTCATTGAACAAACATTAAAGCATCAATTTCTAAAAACAAATCAATTACTGAAATAATCTCATGGTCATCATATATTTGAAAATATTTTGGGATTGTAATATCAAAAATAAACATGACCAATTGTTAATCAATTCTTGGTCTGATAAATTAGCTGACAATACCATAATCTATTCACAAAACACCAGCAGCATTTGCAGACTTTCAATGAAATTATTTATTGACATCACATTTACAACTGGATAAAATTTTAATCCAACTTCCTGTTAATCCAGAGTGGATCTGAGAAACATGCTATATATTTTTCCTGGCTGTATAATTTGAGACATTTTGTCTCTTTATTAAAATTTGATCTCAAAGCCTTAAATTTAAGAAATATTATTTGGTTTAACCTTGCTTTATTTTAGAAGTGAAGCCTAAAATTGATAAAATTTTCTTAGAATTGTTAAGTAACTATTTCCCTGAGAATTCCATGTTACATAATGGTTTTAATAAAAATACTGTAAAAAATCATAAAAGCATAGAAAAAGTAATCAAAGGGCAGAATAGTAAAAAAAAATTAGATATAGATAGAGTGGATGCAAAAGCAGCTGAGAAAAAAGTGCAATTGCCAGGATACAGAAAAATTATCCATTAAATGGCAACTGTCTAGTAGAAGGTGTTGTTTACAGGGCTACAACAGAACCTACAAAAATAAAGTGTATATTGGTTCCACAGAAGTAACATTTAAAATGAGGTTTTATAACCACAAATCTTCATTTAAGCTAGCAAGATACAGAAACAATATGAAACTTGTTGGTTACATATGAAAGGTAAAAGAAAAAAATAAAAGTCCTATTATAAAATGGGATATATTGAGAGAAACACGATCATTTAACATCAGGAATAAGATGTATAAACTATGGCAAGAGGAAAAATTGGCAATTATGCTATAGCCTCAACAGTACAAACTTTTTCATTTATTTTTTATCGTTAATTTTGGTCAGTCCTTGTGTTGGTCAAACAGCCTCTTTTAAGTTGTTTTTAAGATAAAAGCTGCAGAGATTCATGTAACTGAGAATTCCCTTGGTCATTTTGACAGTTTTACTGGTTGCTGAGAAAAGGATGTTTCTGTGTTACGTGTATGCTATCATTTGTTATTTGGGAGTGTGTATGATGTGTGTAAGTGTATATATTAGTATGGGTGTGTGTATAAGTGTGAGACCTCAACACCTCCGCAAACATGTCAGCCTTGTGTGGGTGAGAAATGTGGGTAGGGCTTGATTTATGGGGTTATATATTAATTCTATCCATGTTGTTAAATTTGTGGTTAAACCTGTCTGCACAAAGTGTTTTGAGGTGCAAATGAAGACAAATGGAAATATGTGTATATATATATATATATATATATATATATATATATATATATATATATATATATTTATTAAAATACATACACACACACATATATATATATATATAATCATAAATCAAAACATATAACTTTCAATAAATAATGCAAAATAATTGTATGACTACAAAATAAAATTCTATTTATAAGCTAATTTAAATTTATTTTTATGGTGATATTTAAATACGATTTTATTTCTTTAGTTCAATAGCTGACTTGTATTTTTATATTTAATTATTTTAATTTTTTCTTCCAGGAACAAATTACATCTATTTCTAAAGCTGTTAGGTGTTTTGGATTTACCCATAATATTATTTGTGCAGGAGTAGCTAATTTTTAAGATTTTTCTATTAAAAATTTTATTTAGTGAGTTATTAAGGTTAAAATGTTTGTCAATCAATTTCAGAAAGTATTGACCAATATTTATATTAGATAGTTGACAGAAAGGAGGGTTAAACAATATAACTTCTTTTTCTATGTCTGGGTCTATTTATTTTAGTATCTTATAATGATTCCAGGTAAAATAATTTTGTTTAAAGCCACTTTTTTTTTGAGGGCATCATTATAAAATTTATTTTCATTGAAAATTTTATTATTAAAAGATAATCTATTAATTTAGTATTTACAGTGGTAAAAATTTGTCTAATTATCGGATTAGGATGATTACAGATTGGGGTTTCATTATCCTTATGATATGGTTTAAATGTGTTGTTCAAAAGGTTGAAAGTTATATCTAAGAAATTAACTATTTTATGGGCAGATGAAATTTCAATTCTAAACCCAAGGAATTTGAAAGCCCTAATAATTTTCTTTTGTATATTAGAAGATAGTGGACTATTACTATTAGGGATAAAAATAAGTCTCTATATAGACTAATCTGTTTAGGGCCAATAATCCCACTAAGGGTGTTTATAATATAGATATATATAATTATGGCTGCAATTTGAACAGAGCTAGAGGCACCCATATGAATGTCGAAATTATCATTCTAACTTTTAATTCAAGTAGAATTATTAGTCAGTAATTAAATTAATATAACCTCGAATTCATAATCTATAATTTCTACACAGTTTTTGGCAAAATTTATACTTTTTAATAAGAGATCTTTGGAGATGGAGGAGTCGAATTGAATAAATGTGGCCTTATCTTTATTTTTAATATTATGGAACCTTTTTATTGTATCAGAAGAATCTTTCCACATATTATAAGAAGGCTCTTGTATTGCGTTGTTTTAATTATATTTTTAGAAATTAAACCTAGTTCAGTTTTGGAAGGATTGATTATCTAGATTGTTGGTTGTTATCGAACTAGGTTTTGTGGTCTTTAAATAGTAAATAAGCATTTTTCATGTGGATTTTCACCATTGTCATCAATACTGAATCTTTTGCAAAATTAGCCACACCTTTGTTAATTATAGAAATTGTATTATTCTTGACTAGTTTGTAAGTATTGATGATTTTGTTTGAGAAAAGTTTGTGATAGCTGGAGGGGTTGATTTTATAAATATTTTTTGACTTGTCAGCTCTGACCCATATATCATTAGACTTTTTAATAGTTCTAATGTCTTTGTTCACATTATGTAGAAATTTGTTGGATAATTTTCCAAAGCTAATTTTTTTAATTACGTTTAAAATATCTGCTTCAAAAGGTTCTAGGAGTTTGTTGCTTCCTTTTTGCAGAGTAGTGTTTCGGAAGGGTTTAAGTAAAAATATGTTTTCCAGCGTAGTCTTTTTATGAGGTCTATTATTTTATATGTAAGAGACTGAGTGAAAAAATGTAAAGACAGGTAGGGAATGTTTTTTAGAGAATAGTCTGAAGAAAATTTATCCATTTGGCTGATATAATCAGTAAATAATTAAGATCTTAGGGTCCCAGCTATGGGCAAATAGTTAACCCCGAAACTGGAGTAAAAAATACTATAAAAGTGTAAAAATAGGTTTTAATACGAGAAATATTTTGTAAAAAAATTATTACCAGCAATAAATTTTTGAAGAAAAAAAACAATTACAATTGACAAAACAAAATATTACTAGCAATAAAAATTCTGTCAGCATTAAATAACCCATTGAGGTTGATATGCCATAAAACAAATCAAACCAAAATCCTGAGAGAGCTCAACTTAAAATTTACATTGTTTTGCATATAAATACATTGAGCTCTCTTCATGGCTCTATCTTTTGAATATTTTATATTAAAAAAAAAAACCTACTTGGATTATCCTTACCACTTACAGATTTGATATTTTTATATAAGGACAAAGATTTCATATTTAGTGGCAGAAATGCAAAATTAACAATTAATACGCAAATCAAATATATACAATGCAGTCAAGCAATGATTGACATAAACACAGGATTTGATTACCTTTCATAGAGCAATCATTTTGAAATATGGCTTGACCAACATTTCCATTATTGTTAGTTTTTGGTGTTTGACACACAGATACATTTGGTGATTTCAGACAAGGACTGAATGTAATTTCTTTTTTGGTATTTTTACATTTGAGATCAAATTCAGAATCTGATAGGTTTGAAACTTTTGAAGAAACTTGACTTTCTACTTGTAGCTGTAAGCCCTCCACATTTGATGAAAATTTGGACATTTCATTTCTTTGACTTGGAAAATTGTTGATTACACGAGGGGTGCTTTTTGACATAATTGGCGTACAAGAATCCTCTATATAAGCACAACCTATTTTGGCATCTTCAGTGGAATCTGAAAGAATAAAACACCAAACATCAGTGAACAATAACCAAAATGTTTTGCAAAGAAAATCAACAAAGAAAGTTCCTGTGTAGAAAACAACTACATTATTAAATATCAGAACTTACCAAGAAAGTTCTTGGCCCGGGATAAAATTGGTGTAAGAGAGTCTCTTCGCTTCTTCACATTAACATCAAGAGATTCTAAAATTAGTTTTGAAAAAAAAAAAAAAAAGTGATTAATAAATTTAAAAAACATCCAATATTAAAAAGAATTAAAATAAAAAGAGAATTTTTTAAGATACTCACGAGAATGTGAAACACTATTGAGAACTGGAAAATGAGTGATTTTTTCAAGTGTAATTCCATTAATATTGGAATTGTCATCATCCTGATTCTCATCGGCCCATGTAATCTCTTTATCACCAAGAATTTGTTCAATCACTTGATTATAATCCTGCTGAATACCACTAGTGAGTAGTCCATTATTTTTTATGACAGAGTAAAATCTTTTCATTGTTTTTGTTAGATTATTAATTGTTCTGTAAAGAAAAAAAGAATCCAATAATTAAAATCATAATTTGGTTAAAGAAAAAAATTAATTATTTTTAATCATAGGAATCTCATCAACTTTACAAGTTCTTTATTTTTATATATTCAACTGTTTCCACAAAAACAATACCCAAGGAATATCAAAGGTTACAAAACAAAATTACAGACTTAATGTAGACATTGAGAACAGTGTTATTATTATTCTTGCTTACTTGTCTTTAATGCGACTGTCTCGATCTTGAAGACTGATGACCTTTTTCAGATGCTTATTGAATCGCTGATTATCTGCTAATTCAACTTCCAAGTGATGTGCTCGTAAGTTAACATCTAAAGACTGAAAAAGAAAAATTCAAACATGTAACAGCAAATTTTAATAGCAGAAAAAAATAATTTTAAATACAAGACTCGTGGTAACCAAAAACTATTTTCTGAGATGAGTATTTTTCACAAATAGTCCCATAGAAATCTAACTCCAAACTTTTTTCAGAAATCAAAACGATTAGTTTAGGTATCATTAAAAATATTTTGTTATTTTTTAAAAGTATCTTCACTAATCAAAATAAAACTGTGGGAGGGAATTTATCTCAAATTTTATTAAAAGTATAGATGTATTAACAAAAAATGTATATATAAAATAAAAGTGTACATCGTGAATCTCATTTTTACTCATGTACAAAAAAAAAAAAAAAAAAAGACTATAAATGAACAAAAGAGAATAATTAGTTTCCCTATTAGCTAACATCAGTGAAAAGTATGATTAAAATCTCATTATCACATTGTTTTTTGTTTATTCAGAAGCTGTGAATCGAAATGAAAAGTATTGATTAAATATAATAATTTTAGATAAAACTTAATGTCATTTAGCTCTTTGTTTCTTCATATCAATAAAGGAATATAAATTTGCTAAAGCAAGACTTGTAAATTATCAATACTTTTAAGATTCAGTTAATAAAATGTGCATGTATACAAAAAGCAACAGAAACATTGTTCACCTTTTCATTGCTTAATAAGTTCTAGAAAATCAAATATTTTGGGACTTGCAAAACTATTTTTAAAAATCTGAGTCAATTTATTAAAAAAGGGAAAAATTAATATATGCACAAACCATTCATTTTAAATGGAAGCAGAGAGTGTTTTGACTGCAAAAAAGTTGATCAAGTTGGTTTAAGGAGTTTCTATGATGCTTTTCTGTAGAAGTTTTGATAAATAGACACTTTTAGGCACAGTTTACTTTCCATAATAAATCTTTCTTTATCACTGGATAAACTATTTTTTGTAATTAAAAAAAATTATCAATTTAAAAGTGTAACAAATATAAAGACTGTAAAGCTATAAAAAGTCATTGTTATATTATTTTTTTTAAATCACATGTAGTGTGTCATTTGGAGAAAAATACTCCCAATCAATGATACTCATTTTCATGTTTTACTGAAGCTATACGATTCGATTAGTGCAGCTTAACCATAGTAATTGAAAATTGATTTCTTTATAGTTACTAATGTATACACTAATCCTGTATACAGAATTTCAAATCATTCATAAATCAGTTGTTCATGTTCCAGTTACTTTGAAATCATTTTGAAACTCTTTGAGCAGGAAGTAGATTGTGTTTAACCAACTTGTACATCATTCTAAGTGAATATTAAGCTATTTTATATGGACTGCCATTTTGAATAAGGTTTCTAGCAATGAAACATTTTTCAAAAAGGTCAAAATATTTATTCATGCCACTGTAATTATTTCACAAAAATAAATAAACAAAATGTTTTTAAAATGGAAATAAAAACAAATAAATCAGTTACAGACTTGTGACATTTCTCCTGATATAAGGTCTTTTTCTGCTTTCCATCTTTGTAATTGTTCTTCATTATTGGCAAAGTTCTTTTGGGAAGCTTCTATCTTATCTTCAATAGATTTGATTCGCTTTTGAGATATTTCTATCATGCGCCTTCCTTTTTCTTTCTGCAAAAGAACTTTCTAGTTAAGGGAAAATCTCAAACCAAATAATCAACCACATACACAAATAATTTTATTGTTAAATTATCAATTCTATAAAGAATAATTTAAACTATGGATCTTAATTCTGAGTAATCAAATTATTTACAGGTTTACTAAAATAACAAAATTATGAAACTTGGGCAATGAACTCATTTGTAAAACTATATTCAGTCTCCGTTTTTACAATAAATAGCCTCAAATAAAAACATCTAGATCATATGTCTGAAAAAAATAAATAAAAAGAATAAGGCAAACTGAATTTTAATACTTACTTTTGATTGGCATTCAAGACAATTATAATCATATACCCAATTGACTTTATTCAAACACTGCTTTTTGGAAAAAATTTTCCATTCTGTGGTACGAAGGATGCTTTCATATTCAAGAATTTCTTTACGAACACTTTTTCTATGAACAAATATGTTGTAAAGAACTTCTTGCAATCTGAAAATATGCATGAAATTTAACATAAAATTCCATGAAATAAGATACTGCTCCTCATGGCATTTACAAAAACACAGTTTCACAAAGAATTTAAAAATCTCAAACCGTTAACAGACACATTCTTGAAAATTGACAATTCTTAAGAACTTCACATGAATAAATTGCTTTTATCTTTTATTATAAACTTATATCAATATTAAAACTTCAAGCAAACCCTTATATTCATTTAGAAATATTAGTGACTTATTATAAAAATGATCCAATTTTTATTTTCAAATATGGTCATGTCATCAGTATACTTCAGACATCTAGAAATTGAGTCTACTCAAATTTTCAATGTTAACTTACAAATAAAAACACTTTAAACTAATTTCTTTTCATTCCAGTTAATAATTTCATTTTAATTATTTGGAAGTCAATATCAATCAAGTAAGACAAAATATATTACTAACGGTGGTTTTACTAAAATCATAATTAAAAACAGTTATAATCAACTGCTCAAAAATTCATGCAATTCTTTTCAGGAAGTAGAGAAAGATCTCTAAGGGGAGATAAGTTGCTTGAATCAATAAACTAGTCTATAATCAGAGGTAAAATCAATAATTTCAAGCTGAACATTACAAATTATTTTATATCTTTGCATAATTGATTTATTCTTTAGTCTGATGACCAAATAAAACATTTAATATCTCTATGGTCAAAGAAATAAAAAAGTCTTACCTTTTGCTTTCTTCTATTGACTGTAATTGGGGTATATCGATTACTTTCTGATTCTCAGTACTTTCAAAGTTTTGAAGTTTCAATTTTAGTTCAGAAACCTGAAACAAAAAATATTTAGGACATATTTCAAGCATTTTAACAAAACTTTAAGAACTTAAACTTGTAAATATCTTTTTATAAATATCAGAATAATATTTTTCTAAAAAATTAGAAAATATACAACTGATATTGTCATTTCAAAATATTATTAAAACTAATTTTATTGTATCAACTCTTCACAACACTTTTAGCTTTCTCACATTTCTGGTTAATTGTCTTAAAAATTAAAATTAAGCAAATAAAAATAAATAACCATCCACTTAGATGCAACATGAATAATAGAATAGTCAAACTTCCTTGTTTGGTATTGAAGAAGAACCTGTAAAAAAACAAAACCTGTTAACAATTTTTCAGCTCATATTTGGAAAGGTTCCATATGGTATGAGATAATGCTGACTTCTTTAAAATTAATGAAGTTAGAAAATGCTTTACATGAAAAAGAGTAAAGCTTATGAGATTATAAACATTTGGTTACTGATTATTATTCCTTTATAGGAAACCTACAAATTACAAAATAAGCAAGAGATGAAGTTATTGCAGTATTTACAAAAACAACTGATATTTCACTGACCTCTTGACGAAGACTTTCAATGATCTTCCCATATTTGCTAAAATGGGATTTCACATTCATGATATTTTTCTTTAACTGAAGAAAAGATTGCATAAAATTTGAATTTTAGAACAAAGAAAAATACATTGAAACAAGTCAATTTTAAAAATGGAATTTTGTATGCAGATCATATTAAAAAAAACTATAAATATGGATAATAAATGTAGAAATATAAACTATTAAATTATTAAAGATTTAGAAAAACAAGTTGATTTTCATAGTTATGACAATGGTTAAAATCTTACAATAAAACAGAAAAGAATTCTTTAAAAATAGTGACATAAAACCTCCGATATAGATACAAAGATGGAGTTTAAAAAGAAAATTATTTCCAAATTATTTTTACAACTACAATATTTACAGTGCTTATTAGTGCTAGACTGAACTGAAGAATAAATTCAAAAGATTCATTAAAAAACTTACATCAGCACGAATATGCTTGGCACGGTCTGCATACTTCAATGTATTATACGTATCTTCATATGATTTTGCAGATGGACTAGCAAAAAATTAAAAAAAGATAATATAAAACTATGTTTGTAAGATTTTATAAAACTATCAGAGATTGAGGTTGACTAAAAGCATAGAGTAATTTTTTTGTCTGATAATGACACCTGGTAAATTACTAATAAAAACAAAGCAATAAAATTCTCTTATCACATCTAGTTTTTGACTGAACATTTTAGACAAGAAATTATCACTATGATACATAGAAGAGGGCTGGGGATACCAAAGCAGAAATGTGACTATAAAAACCAAAACAGAAAAACTCATCAGTGTATAATACATGAATCTAGTTCATTCAAATAATTCCTGTACATGATAAGTACTCATTTGTTAACAAAAGACATATTCAATTTAATTTTAGAATCTAGAAGAATACTTAAAGTCAAAGAGTGAATAAAAATAAATTTTTTATATATATATATATATATATATATATATATATATATATATATATATATATATATGTCTATATTTCTGAGATGAGGTATTATGTACAGTATTTACATTAGTCGGACTATTGTCCTCATCTTTTGTCGCCATATTTGTCACAACGTTTCGGCCGTTTATGCGCTCGGCCTTCTTCAGGTGGTTGGAATTTCGAACTGAACCCTTTATTTCGATCGCTGGGGTAGACTGTTCTAATTCCACGTGCCATGTTTGATGGATGTCAGTTATCAGTTATCTCCTGCTAATTTTCCCTCTGAAAGTTCTCCACTGCCTTAACCAGGAATTGAACTCACCTTCTTTGGGTCTGTCACTGGATCTAACCAACGCCTTTATCCACTGTGCCATGTGTCCTTGAGGACATCTGGGTATGAACTTCTGAGTATTATAAACCTAATGTTTTTCAGCATCATTTTTACCAGTGCTCAAACATGGCACGTGGAATTAGAACAGTCTACCCCAGCGATCGAAATAAAGGGTTCAGTTCGAAATTCCAACCACCTGAAGAAGGCCGGAGCGTACAACAGCCGAAACGTTGTGACAAATATGGCGACAAAGATGAGGACAATAGTCCGACTAATGTAAATACTATATATATATATATATAAAAAAATGCCAAAACGTTTTCAGCCAGCCTCAAAATCTGATTTTTTTTGGTGGGGGTGGTGTGCTTCCTAGCCATGTTAAGGACTATATATTTTAAATGATTTTATTATCACATTACTACCACTACAGCTGTTTTTGTTATAGTTTTCATTATTATTACATTTCACAAATTATATCATTTTATCTTTATAAGTTTTATATATACTTTTATAAGTATATATACTTTTACAAGTTTTATTTTATATATACTTTTATAAATATCTTTTATAAGTTTTATATATACTTTTGAAATTAAAAAATTTGAGAGCCAAAAACTGTTGTCCTATTGTTTGTTTTTTTTAAATCTTTCAAATCCTAATAACTGTCACTCCGATTTTGTTAAACATTTTAATATAACAATAATGTAGTTATTTCCTTAAAATTTGTTTTTACAAATCTTTGTAGATATTTTCCTTATAAAACCCAAAAGATAATTAAGAATAAAATGTTTACATAAAAAAAGTGGGTTGTAAACAAATTTAAATTGAACAAAAAAAAAAAATCCTTTAATTAACTGTCAACAATTATTATTTAATATTTTATTCATATTTTGTAATCTAAACCAGTTCTATGAATAAACAACAAATTGCCAAGATTACTGAATCAAGTAGTGAATCAACCTCAAAAGTTGGGCCTCTCAAAAAAAAAAAAAAAGAGAGAGAGAAAGAAAATGTCCCCATTATCTAAAATTTGTGTTAAAAAGCCAGAGTAGAGCAATTTCCTGGGGACTTTTAGTTTTATGCAGAAGAAAATGTTATTTTGCAAATTCTGTATCCATAGTGTTAATTCCCAAATTAAGAAATTAGCAATTTTAAATTTGAGCAGTATTTCAACTTGGGATAAGTTGTTTTATTTAAATTTTGAATTAATATGTCTAATTTGTTTGTTGATATTTTGTTACGAAAATCCAGTTATTATGGTTTAATTATTGTTTTGTAAAATTTTAGTCAAAATGTTTGACTTTATTCAGATATTTATTGAGATTTAAGTTATTTGCTGTTGATACTTTAAATGTGATTTTTATATTATGAATCAATTATAAATCAATCTAAATCCTTTTACTTAAAAAAAAACAAAAACAATTTGAATGTTTTGAGCATGTTTTAAAGAAGGAAGCTCTCATTAAAAGCTCTACCTCAAAGATATGCACTGTAACATTCCATTGTTTTATTGTCTAGTCATGTTACATTTTTTTTATTTTTACATATAATTTATTTTAGACTTGGATTTTAACATTTAAAAGATATTTGCTATTTCCTTATATGCAATAAAACATTGAATTATATTTTTGTTTTCAGTTTTAATAATAATTATAACATATTATATTGCAATTTTCTCATAAAATACTATAAAAATAGAAAAATGAAATTTCCCAAAAGTAAAAATGGAATTTACCAAAAGTGGAAACAGAATCAAGGAAAATTTGAAACAAAAAATCAGGGGCCCTACAATAACTGATCTTAAAAATAAAAATTTCAGTATAAATAAATTGCAAAAAGAAATGTCATCATACAGATCACTACACCATTCCTCATAATGATAAAACCAACAATTACATGAAAGACAGAAAAAAATGTAAAACACTCAGTTTTACATTTTTATCACAGTAGAATGATAAATAAATAAAAAAAAACAATTTATCTCAGGCCCAACAATATGCAATAACATAAAAACAGTATCATCTACTGCTTGCTAAGGATTTTCAACTTTTCAATAACTGATTTTGACAAAAATAAAAATGTCTTTTGCAACAAAGTCAGAAATAATAAACATACAAAAGATATGTATAAGTCTGTCAAAATGCCACAATGAATTTAGTCTTCAAAATTATGGCAAAGATCATAGACTAAATTACACAAGCAGTGTATTGCTTTTTGTCAATGAAACAAATGAAAATTCATTCAAGATGAGGAAATATCAAACTCAGAAACTATTTTTTACCAAAAATGATATCTTATCTCTTTTGAGAAAATCATGATTTCAAAAACATGTGGCAAATAGAGGGAGTAAAAATAGAAAGGGTCATAAAAACTGGTAAAGATAATCATAAAAGGAAAATTAAAGTTCACATTATATAGAAATTGGAATGTAATAGAAATTCAGTTCTAAAAAATTGCAATGATTAACAGACAGAAGTTAAATCCAAAAAACTTGCTTATAAAAGTACAAAAATCAGAAATAATTGTGGCATAATTTGTTCCCCTTATGTAAAAAAAAAAAAAAAAAAAAAGAAGAAAAGTTTTTATGATCAAAAGCAATCAATTATTCTTTAGGGAAGTAAAGATTGCAATATAATTTCCTCCAGTGTCAGTCTGAAAACTTTATGAATCAAATAAATAGTCACAATGCTGAGTTCAGTTTTACAATACTTTTTTCTAGTTTTAAAAACTTTTTACAAAAAAGCTTTTCTACATTAAATAATCAAGTGGGAAAAGAATACTTCCAAGGTCAATTTTTCATTATTTACAAGAGGGTGCCAAAAAGTTCCTAATCTGATTCACTTCTTAAAATCTGACCAAACATCAGAATTGTGTTTTTGATTTCTTCTTGGTTCAGCCCAAAACTTCCAGTACAATCTTGCAGGGCCAGTGAGTACTACTCCCCACCTTTGACAAGTGACATCTGATTGGCAGCCCCAGACAGTGCTTTTTGATCTTCACTATCTTATCAACATTCACTTTTTTCTACCTACATGTATATAAATTACAAATTAAACTAACACAACTGAAAAGATGAAAAATTTCCACAAATTTTGATTTCATTCCATTTTTTTTTTTGTCCAAATTTTTTTTATTTTTATAACAGATTAACCTTAACTGCAACATTAGTCTTCTTTTGTGCCCAACTAGCCATCTGCCTTGCTCTTTGATCTGAAACGGTCTCAAAAAGATACAACTAGGAACCTTGACAAAACAAGCTCTACCTACCCACTTGGTGAAAATAGCACTTACAAGTTATGACAGAATTTTAGAATAGAGGCAGCATCACTAGTCTCATTTATTAATCTTTTTTTAGTTTGGACATTAGAAAAAAATTCTATCAAAAGTTGAAAAGCATACAAAAGCCACACAGCAAAATACGCTAAATAAAAAAAAAATATATTTTCATATTTAAATTTTCTATAATTATTAATAATTTGTGATAATTTTAATAAAAATTATCTAATAATATTTTTATTATTAGATAGATATGATGTATAAATTAATAATGATTATCCTGTGAATAAATACTGCATTTTTATGAATAATCGTTACCTCATAAATACAGCATTTATTCATTTACTTTTGAATTAGAATTAATTAAAGAAACATATGGGAATCCTAAATGCAAAAAATAATACAATAAAAGTGATATTTTCTTTTTATTTCAGCCAATATAGTTTCTTAAAGAAACGTTTGTTAGTCTTTAACAAGTAAAATAATAACATAAAACTAGGTACCTCCACAGAAACGCAATACCTAAGGTTTAAAATGAATTTTTAAAAATGAAAAATCTTTCTTGAATTTTTTAGTTTTAATTTCAAACTAATAGATTAAATTTAATATTTCAAACAAGCAAAATACGTTGCTGCATTTCAAAACTTATTTATATTGACTGGAAGGAATTTTTTTTTTTTTTTTTGCTAAAATAGCTGAGTAGCACCATTTTTTTTAACAGGGTGTTAAACTGTTTATTTAAGATGATGACAGATGGATGCTTATCTAATGTTTTTCTATGAGGGCTTTATCTGTAAAAAAAATAATTGAAGAATATAACATGAGTGCCTTCTTTATATATTTTTTAACTACCCAGTAATCTGAAAAATTTAGGAAAATATTCTCCATAATCTAAGGTTTTATTGAATTTTATGTAATTTGACTTTAAATTTACTATAGTTATCACACTTATTTTCAGAAAAGTCTATTTTATTTTTAAAAGATTTTTTAATAAAGATAATTACATTGTGTTGACAGATTTAGCCATCTGTCAACACAATGTAAATGATGCTAAAATCAGCTACTTTAGCAATTTCAAAATGAAAACTACTTCCATTTAATTTAAATTAGTTGCAAGTGTCAAAAGAAGTTACAGCAAAAATTATCTGCAATCTACAATGAAAGAAAAAAGGTTATCCAGGTCAGCAATAATTTCCATTGGAAATGAATGTGCTTGATCCCTGAACTGTGATAAAGCACTATATAAAATTAACTATTTTTTATCCATAATGTTAAATGTGTTAAAATTATTCAACTTTTTAAGAAAACTCTCAAGTTGATCTTAAAAATTGGCACAAAACATTATTAATTTATTTAACATTGAATGATCTATTATGACATGTGTCTAATTTTTATTTAGATACATTGTATTTATTTTCAGTTTTTCTAGTTGAATTGTTCAGCTATACTGCATATGGCCCATTATTGTACATAATTAGGTTACAATAAAATTTGTATTTTATATGAACATTACCTTATGAAAATTGAAAGGTAGTAGAGTGGAGGCCCCCAGATCATAGATGAGGGAGAGGATGCACAAGACCCTTGTACCAGCCCTGTCCTCTTGCATTCATAAACTTACCTAATTGCAGCTATCATTACAGTCCTACAATTGCCTCCAATTGAATCTTTAAGAAGACGTGTCAGTTTACTATCTCGGTAAGGAATGTGAGCTTTTACCTGCAAAACAAAAATTATTTTTACAAACCAAATGAGAATTTAGTTCAATAAAACTGAATATTTTGGATACAATTAAAAATAACAATTTTACCTTGTTGTCTGCTAACATATTAATAACATTTCCTAAAGCGAGCAAAGAACGATTGATGTTGGCACCTTCTCTCTTTCTGCTGCTACTATTCTTAGTGACAGTTCCACGCTCAGAACCAGCAAGGTCAACTAAGCATAATTTAGCTATGTGAACAGAGGTGACCAAGTTTGCCGTACGATCAGACTGTCTGATAAAAACCTGCAAACAGAAGAAGATACAATCATTTTCAATTAAATCCATGCAAACATTTTTTATAAAATTTTTGTGTTATTTGAACCTTTTACCCAAATGAACACTTACACCAAAATTCACTTAATACTACTCAACTATCATTTATAAGTGTATTTAATGAAGAATTTCAATAAAAATACCCAATTTCTTTTATTTTTATTCACAAGTTAAAATTCATCTATGGATGTCAGAGTCATTTAAAAATATACAATCTTTTCAAGAAATATTAACACTGTATTTTGTTGTTCTACAACAAGTGATCAGTAGTCAACTTCCCACTTGTCTCTTACTTTACTATACATTTATATCTTTTCTACTTAACATATGCCAATAGGTACAATTCTATTTACCAATCCATTACATACCCCTGAACTAAAGAGGTTTAATACCTTTGGTTGTTCTCAAACTTCTTCTACAACCTCTTTCCTCCACGACCCCTTGAGGTTTATGTCCTGGTCTTTTTAATGGAGATCTTGGTCTTATTTCATCTGTGTTTGAGTCACTCCCACCATCATCCATAGGCTTGTCTTTTATTGCATTATCCTGATCTGAAGAACTCACCCTTTCTTCTCTGTCAAGATCTTCTTCCATCACAATGTCCTCAAATTGGTCGGAATAGGCCATTAGATTTTTTCCTTTTTTTGATATAATGGCCATGTTACGTCCCCTTTGCATGATGAAATTAGCTCTCAGGACTTGCTACTTTGTCTTATACCACATCTTTTTATTTGCTAAGTAAGACATTGTTAATGGAGATCTTATTTGTCTTCCCATTAACGCAGATGGGTTTTTGCAATCTGTTTGCATGTGGAATCATTCTATAACTAACAGTAACAATTTTTACTGTCTGCACCATTCTTTCTGCAATCCTATTAGATTGTGGGTGATACAGTAGTATTTTGTAAGGGAAGCAGCCAATCCACCTCAACTAATTACATAGATCTTCATCACAAAACTCTGGTGCATTTTCTGATACCAATGTCTTTATGGGCCTCATTTCTAGAAAATAACACTCTTAGTATTTGTTTTATTGTAGTTGTTTTTCTAGCTTTAAATTTAACAACTTCAGGCCATCCAGAAAAGGACTCTACCAGAATTAGAAATAGTCCCATGCCATTAAAGTGTTCATGGTCCATATGAACACAAGACTATAGTTCAGTTTCTTTAGGCCATGGGTGTATTCTCTTTTGTCAAAAAGTTCTTTAATTCTGCACATTTTTGTATATAACTTTCTATATCACGATAATACACTGGCCATCATTCCTTCTGTTTTAATTTCCTCTGCATAGCTGTTATCCCACAATGCACATCATCATGTACACTTTTTAAAATATCTCCTCTTACTGTTTCTGGTGTTACTATCACCATTTTCTATTGTTAATTTATGCCTTATTTCTTTATAAGATCTTTCAGCTTTGGAAAAATTACTCTAGATGTTTCTTCTGTCAGCGATCTTGTTTAATACTGGATCATGTAAAGTTTCCTATACCAATTTTTGTAAAGATAATATGTCAGTTTCAACCCAATGTAATATTTCTTCATTTGGGATTTCCACTTTTCTTTCTTTTTGATCCTTATTAAATTTTAACCTTGACAGTGCATCGACATATGGTATTGTATTTCCTTTTACATACTAATTGTCAAAATCTTATGCCTTTAATTTTATGGTCCATCTTAGAATCCTGGAAGAAGTAACTTTTGGTAGCTCTTTTCTAGGGTTTAAAATAAATTCTAGAAATTTATGGTCCGACTAACAGGAACTTCTTACCTGATAAGAATTGTCGAGCTTTGCCTGTACTGCCTGTGAAAATTTATGGTATACCCAAAACAATTGGAGTCAGTGTACTGTAATTGAATCAATTCATCCTCAATAGTAAAATTTTGAGTTCCAAGTTTCTCAAATTCACAAAATCCACTAGCTTCACTAAATCTGTGAAGATATTTAATAATTGATTCAACTTGTTTCTGTGTAATGGGCTGAAATTTGGTTCTTTTTGCTATGACAAGTTTCTTTTTAGGCTGTAAACTTCTTTTTATAATTAATGAAATTTCAATGAAAGTCAAATTCTCCAATTGTTTAGGGTATACCATAAATTTTCATTATAGCTTCACAATCTAGAAAGAGGTCAGTTTTCATTTAATTTTTTCTCCCTCTTGCCTGGTTATCTTTCAATTTTTTTTTTAGCCCTAGCTTGAGATGCAAAACACCGGATTCAAGTCTCAACAAATTCTAGTTCATCAAAGTGACTTAAACATCTTATCAGCAATACCATATTGTTGTATTGTGTTGTTCTGTGACATGATCAGAAGTCAACTTCCCACTCATCTCTTACTTTACTATACCTTTATATCTCTCTTCTACTTAATATATGCCAATAGGTACAATTCTATTTACCAATCCACTACAATTAAACATTACAATTATTTAAAAATTTATTGAAATTTCAGAAAGTGTTTATACAAAACATCAAATAAGGTCTTTAAAAGGCAAGTTATTGCCTCTTAAAGACCTTAAATTTGTACATAAAGGATAAAAACATTTTCAATAAAGAAAGCAATTAGTTGAAAGAGGCTCCTTGACATTAAGATTAAAACTAGTTCAAAATAAATGCCAAATTATTGAATTCATTTTTGAAAACCTAACAATAATCAAACTTTACAATTTTAAATAGATTGAAAGTAAAACAATTTCCAGAATGATGTATTAACTTCAAAACAAATTTTCTAAGTCATAAACTGAAATATGAAAGTTTTTCAACTTTTCTAGTTCCATCCAGAAATGTATCAGTTTTTATCTTTACTATTATATTAATTTCTTTTTTTTTTTTAAATCTAACTTTAAAAAAAAAAAAAACACAATAATTTTCAAATAATACCATACTTGGAATACAGCATGGGATCGTGAAGATTCAGCATTTGCATCAGTAGGATGTTGGGTACGATTTTTATTTCCATTGTAGAGCATATACAGCAAATCCTGTTCATTCTGAGGCTGTCAAAAACAAAAATAAAACAAAAGATAACATTCTAGTCAATAACAATCATCATTTTTTTTTTTGTAATTAGATCCCACACAAAATATTAGCTTAATGTCACTGTTTTAGAGATTCTATTAATGTTATTTCTATTCATTCCCATTTTTTGTAATATTCATAAACAATTATAGTTTGCTGATAGAAAAAGGATAAAATTTATTTTTTTATGTTTAGAAAAATTTTTTTAAAAATTAAAGCTTGGAAATGAAACTAATTTGAAAGTAAAGATTTTACACAACAGTTTGTATAAAGGCAAAATCTATCAATTCAATTATTTTTTTCAATTTTCATTTGTGTGATATTATTTAATTGCTAAAATCAAAACTGATTAACTCTAAAGTTATAAGGAATTGTGATGGTTAATGTTTACCAAGCTAATTTAACAGACCATTACTACGGTATAGCACGAGTTCAAACCTGTATGCCTCACATTCATGGTTTTGTGCCAAAAGTCTAATAAATACCCATTAGGAAGGGTGAAAAATATCTTTTATGAAAATTTTTGTTTGGAATTTTATTAGAGAACTTATAAAAAATAAATGAATAGCTGAATTTAAATAAGTAATAAATAAAACTAAGTGACTTGTATTTGTAAAAAAAAAAAAAAAAAGTCTTTTTAAATAAAACTTTTTACTTGAAATAGAAGTGATTTTTATCAGTTTCTGAAATAAAAAAAACTTCCCAAACTCTTTTGCTGTTTTCATGTCATGACCATTATCCCGACTCATATTCTATTCATATATAATGTTCATATATAAACGAAACATTATATACATTACATGTTTTAGAAGCTCCCCCCACCAAAAAAATAATTAACATTTTTTTTTTTAAATATACAAACATTAGGTAAACAAAAACACTAGAAAACAAGACAAATTATGAAATAGTGCATAAATAAACAAACATAAATAATGAAAATTTTGTTAATTTAAAATAAAAACATAACAGAAACAAAAAAATGAAAATATAAATCAAGATTAAGCCTAAAATACTCAGAGTGAACTGACATGTTTTTACATTGCTCTAAGAAAGCTATGTCATATTTTAAAAGGGAAGTCTTGGTTATTTTAACAATCCATTTATTCTTGTTTTTCTTTCTTTATTGTAGTTTTTGTTACATTAGTATGCATTTATAATCTTTATTTATTAAATTACATTTATTTTTTTTTTTTTTTTTTAGATAAGTTGAGGTATACATCAATTGTTTTTTTTTTGGGGGGGGGTGAGTGTTCCAGCAAGTTTAATTTAAAAATTATTATATTAAGAACCTTTAATATATTGTATATATTATATGTTAAATTAGTTATGCATCGGCATGAATAATTCTACTCTATTGAAGCATAACATTTCTCTTTTTTATAAAAAGAGGACATATTTTTTTTAAATTGTAGGAAAAGAATTTTGAGTAGTTTTATTTATCTTTGATTATTGCCAATTTCTTTCCCTATCATTTATCATCCAAATATTTTTAACATTTGCCAATAATTTTATTCTTTTATCCTTTTCTTATTTATTAATTGTAGTTACATTATATTTTTTATGGAAGAGGACGTATTTTCAAATTTGTAAGATAAGCATTTCACATCATAGCATTAACACTTTAAAGTCAAACAGCAATAAAGAATGGATGATGAGAACAGGTTTTGGTGAAACTGGAAGCTTCTAGTCCTGAGCCTGCATGTTGGCAGCAAATTTAGTCATCAATACCATCATAATAAAGGAAGCAATCAGAAAAGAAGAAATTAAATTCTTGGATACAAGGTAAAGCCACCAATGACAACTTGAAGATTATGAAGTCATTATTTAACATACAATAAAATAATTTATACTGCTTTTGACAATACTAACACCTAAACTATCAATTGATAAAAATGAGAGTAGAAAATATAATGTTGATAAATATAACTTTAGGTAAGCAAAAATAGTAAGTACAAATAAGATAAACAATCTTCAGGTTAGATGTACAAAAACAAATAATTACTAATACAGAAAAGCCCACTGTGGAAAAAGTTGAAAGAAACAGTAATAAACAATGCATATATAACTTCAAATAAATATAATAATCATAATATATGTAATAAGTGAAATAAAATAAATAATTGCAAATTATATTAAATATTATATTACTTTTAAGCAATATTTACGTTTTCCAGTTAATCTTAAAAATAAAATCCATTAATTCTTTTTCCAACAAAATGAATCATCTTCCTTTGAGTTCAAAATTATATATGTTCCAAAAGTTGTCATAGCCAGGAGTGACAGTGGGGACAAGCTCCCACTGTCTATAAAATACTTCCTTGACATGTATTTCAAATAGCCTCTGGCAACTATTTCCAGCTCCAAACCAGAGAATGGGCACAGGCGGAAAACTGGCACCTCATAACCAGCTGCTTTGAGTAGATGGAGCTCAACAGTCCAGGAAGACGGTACATCTAGGGGAAGGAAAACATTGATTTGTAAACCCCCTCTGCCTTGCAGTCATATTCAAAAATGGAAAAGGCTATGGAAGTAAATCCAGATAGAAAACCCAGAGTGGAGCCCTAAAGGTGGTTGGCTGTCAACACTGACAACTTTCCAGCAACTCCATGTAATGCCCTGTATTCCTTTTAGATCTTGTCAGTACAGCTGAGAGTGGGGCCATGTACTCTGGGTAGCACACGGCCTCCATATACCTGGAGAGGTCACTCCATTTTCACCATCAAAGGATTGAATTTTGACCAGAGGATGCTACTCTTATCTTGCGAGATAAACAGATGCCTACTATTCTATTCAGTACAATTTTCTGAGAAAAACTTAGGAAAAGCTTGAATTGAAACATTATCAATAACTATCCTATTATATAGATTTCTTTCAATATGTTGACTAACCCAAAACTCAGCCAACAAATAAGATATTTTTAATAAAACAAGTATTCTAAGCTGAAATTTACAGGGTATATTTATCATAAATTTAAGTATATCCTGAAAATTTAAACATCAGTTGGTTAATAGTAATTTTATTGTGAAGACATAAGTCAAAGTTTCTACATATAATAATGCCTAACAGTGTGCATAAGTAGGTTAATTTTAAAAATATCAAAGGAATTCTGAAATATGCCAATATGGATTTCCATTACACAATTTTGGAATATAGAATGAACATGCTAACCATTACTCAAAGACATTTTTTATGAAATGTTAATATAGGAATCTAATTTTTTTTTTTTTATTTATAATACCTTTCATATAAATTCATATAAAAATGCTTTAAAGAATCACTTTCAGAGACAGCAATAACATTTGTCCTTTTGGTAAAGCAGTAAATAACTGCTGATTTCTGTTAGAAGAAATAACTACTACAAGGGAAAAGAGAGAAAACAAAATAACTGATAGAATCTACAGAATAGAATGTCAAGTAAACAAAACTGGGAACATAAGAAAAATAACAAATATCCAAAATAAAAATATTAGGTTAGTCTTTATTCCTGGAGCATGATCTGGTTCACTCAATTTTATTACAATCACCCATTCACTCTCAGATGATGAGCAATTATTACCATGTGAAGGCGTGTTCAACCTGAAGAAAATGAAAAAAACTTTTGGTATTAGGACTGAATGTTGGCTAACAATTCTGGTCATTTATCTGATCCTGAACTTGGTTGTGCACAGGTTTTGTTTGCTTTATTCAGAAATTGTAGGCTGCACTATTGTAGTGCTGATCTTAAACTGATTCCCTTCATTCAAACCTTGTATGAGTGAACCCCATTTGCTGATATATTTAAGTATGAAGTGTTGTCTTTTAGGGTAATGCTACACCAGTATATAGCTTCCAGGATGGAGTACTGCATTCTGGTCACAATGTACTTCATGCTTCTGTGACATAATTCTACTATTACATTTCTTGTATAGACTTGTGCATATCAGAAATGCAGGTGGATCATTCCATATCAAATCAACCACAGGTGATCCTTTCAAAAAAATCTGGGAAATTTCATAGGTTTCCTTGATCAAAATTATTAAAAAATCCCAAATATTAGATCTGTATCTTTTAATAGTTTTAAAATTAGTGCATCTTGATATGTATTAGATCTGTATCTTTATAACAGTGGCTCTGACTGATTCATATTAATGCATGGAATATTGTTTGATGACTTGAGGTATTGAGAGACTTAGTAATCCTGAGCAAAGGAGTAGAAATAGAAAAATATGAGAGAGTAGTTAATCATGTTAGAACCTGATGGAAAAAATTTGGTTTAAAAATATTAATTTGAACCTAATATACTTATGAGGAAGGCATCAGGAAGATTTGAACCTAAAATAAACCAAGTAAGACTCGGTAAAATCCAGTATAACTGAAATTCCCAGTTTAAACCCCACAACCCAAAGATATTGTGATGAGGTGATGAATGTGTTTGCCAAAATTCTGTAAAATCAAAAAAAAAAAAAAAAAAAATGGTAAATTTTATTTTAGAAACCTATCTGCTAGACTTGAATTGAAATCTTAGCAAAATGCCTGGTCTTGAGTACTTTAGAATCATGGATCATGTGCAGGGCTGGATTATGACCTTTTGGGGCTCCTAAGCTAATGAAATTATGTCACCCCGTTGACTCGCCCCCACCCATATTTAATATTTTTACTTGTGACATATTTTAGCAACATTTACATAACTTGAAGTAATCTTATTGAAAATTCTTTAAATAAACTAAAATATTTATCTTTTGTTTGTCAATAAAAATATTCTTTAAGAAATACCACTATTTTACTATTTATTGCAAACCAAATTAGCACATATTTCAACATAACCATAGTATTAAAAAAAAAAAAAAAAAAAGATTTTTTTATAACCGCATTATAACAATAAAACAATCAAAATAAATATGAGTTTGCTATATTGATATAATTTCAGGTTATGCAAGTACTTAGAAGTTATAATATGAAAGAAAAATTAATATCACTGCTTTATAAAAATTTCTGATTT